GAATTGCTCATATACACGCATATAAGTACGCGTACATACGCAACTCTGCATTCGCACGAGGTCAAGAATCTTAGGATAATGTGGATCGTTCGAGCCGCTGTTCGTTGGCGCGTTCGTCGTCGATGTTGTTGTTGTTGTTGCTGTTGTTGTTATTATTGCTTCTCCTTTTTTTTTTGTTCCTTCTCTCTTTTTATTTAAAAAAAAAACCGAAGGCGGTGAGAAAGAGAGAGAAAATTAATCGACGTTTTATCTCGAATAAATAAATTGTGCGAGGCGTATACGTGTTTATATACGATATATATAACGCATATAACAAGTCGCTCCGATTTTCGGTGTGTGCCGGACAATTTGGCGACTTGGCACGCAGGCGCCTGTGTATACACATATATATGCAGAGATCGTTTCGGTCGGTCAAGCTGCACATGCGATGCTCTATAGAAGAGAAAAAGAGAGGAACGTATATATTATAAGCCGCAGCGAAAGTTTCGAAGAATTAGACGCGACGATCCTGGGGCCTCTCTCGGTGGAAGAAGAACTTGGACGAAGAAAGTGGGTGGAGGAATAATTAGCTGAGGTGTTAATGAAATACCAAAGTGTATACAGAGAGAGAAGCGAAGAAGAAGCGGCGCCTCTGAACTGCCTCGGAGCAGACGTTCGCGACACGCGGCCCGGCGCCGAATCTCGACTCCTTGTTTCTTTCTTTTTCTCACTCTCTCTTATTTTGTTTTCATTTTCTTTCCTCTCTCTTTCTTGCAACGACACCCTTTTGTATTTCGTTTTTTTCTTTTAATTTCTTCATCCCGATCGCTTAACGTACAGGACTCAAGCACAGCACACGCACACAGATTCTGGACCGAGCAAAACAAGGCGCAGCTTTAATATCAAATAATATTTATCGAGTAATTACAGTAAATAAAACGTATTCAATAATCCTCTCGACTGAATAAATCTCTTTCTTTCTCTCTATCTTGGATTCCCAAATGCCTCGAGGCAGTTGAATTTTCCCAATCGGCAAAATTCTTGGGCTATTCTTACATCAGCGCGGCACAAATGTAGTACCTATAATACTTGCATGTGCGAGCTGTGCCGTGTACTGTGCAGCATGCGACCTTCGACGCGCCGTGCCGAGCTGCGATATTCAAAAGACATGCCGCGCTAAAAGAGCCTTTGCGGCGAGCTGTGCGCCTCCTCGCCTGCACACAACCTTTTATACAAGGCGCTATGTTTTGCTGCTGCTGCCGCTGCAGTCTTCGCGAGGCTTATCCAAGACAAGCTCTCGCTTCTTACACACGCACTCACACACACACAAACCCATATAAAGTGCAGAAAGCTGAAGGGAACATCTAAGCGTATACCTGCCTCCGTATACAGCGCCGCGGAGGAGAGCTCAGACGCGCGATGTATACCGTATATACCCAGCCCTCTTTTCTCTCTTCTAATTCCTGATTTACTTTTCCGCTTTTTTTCGACTTCTTTGCGTCGCCTTCTTCTACTTCTTCGTTGGTTTTTTTTCTCCTTTTCTTTTTTTCGTACCCGAGACACGAGGTTACTTGGATGAAGGGAATAAAATCTGGGTATCTACGTGTATACACCGAGCGAGATCGAGAGGTAAAAATTTCCGTTGTACAGTCGCTTTTCTCCCCGTGCTTATATATTATGATATAGATCGCATTATATGGTATAAGTAAAAAGCGGCTTCGAGTCTTCATCAAAGTCGGTATCTAACGATCTCCGAGCTCGACTCTTATCTCGAATTTCGAATTTGATTTTCTTCCTCAATTTTTATATGGCCTTCTTTGTATATATATTACAAACAGACGCGCACACATACAGGTTGCATCGCCGACGATAGAAAAGAGAATTCCTGAGATTCACCGAAGAATCAGGAGTAATTATGAATTCCACGGCTCTTGTTAAATTTCACACGTGCTCAAATTTACGAGTGTGTCGGGGTCCGTATTATATCGGCAACCTAGCTGGGTGTCAAATACTCAAAATATCCAGATCGCAGATATATGTGCTCCATTATGTCTCGCGACACGTTTCGCTCAATTATTAGGTATTTAAATTTGTGTCTGTGTTTGCTGTTCCAAGCGCAGAAAGGCATCTACGTCGTCATCCTTGATGCTGCGGCTTCAGCCACGTATATAATACATATAACTCGTCAAGTCCGATTCGAGAATTTCTCGAGATTAAAATCTCTTATACAAATCCAGAGGCCCCCAGCTCGCTCGTCGTGATATGTGCAGGACAAGCAAATGGTCATAGGTGTCGGTCCAAATGTACATTGTTGAAAGTCCTCGAGGAACCTCACGTTATTATATTCACGTGCTTATCTCGTATAGATGCTCGTGCTCTTTTCACGTCTCTTTTTCTCTCACCTTCATCCTCTTCTTCATCTCTATCTCTCTCTTTTGTGCAAATTTTTACAATGTCATCGGAAAAGTTGATTTTAAATTTGTCCCTCCCCATCTGCACTGAGTGACATGTGCCTCTCGGTGTTCTTTGTTTTCTTTTAATTTTCGACAAAAACTTGACTGCCCACGCGTGCGTGAATCGAGTCCATTATAAATATTATAGCAGCAGCGCACGTTGATCCCGTGTGATCTCCTCGCGTGGCCGAGCTCGCAGCTCTTTGAGATTGGATATCCATGAAATATTTTTCTTTTCCATATTTTCCCTCGCAAATTTTTCATCCGTACGTGCGTTTATTCTTTGCTATATGAAAAATTTAATTAATTAAAATGAGACACGGCTACTGCGCGCAAGTATGTAAAGGTGTTCTTCCATACAGGTTATTTTCATACTCGATTTCGTTAGATTTCACAAGATTTAAATCGACCATCGAAACAGGCTACTCGTCTTTTTTTTTTTGAAGTTTTAGAAATATATGTATATCATCTTGACAAAAAAATGCGCATTAATACCATGTGTCGATGGTGTTTCCTAATGAATTTTAAAATAATTCAAATATTTTTATTGCCACATTTTGGCTACCTCAGACGCGCGTATTAGCCTTACGATTGTATCTAAATCAAAGATAATTCTATAATTCAACCGGGTCATATGTCATATTTTCAAGTGATTTTCTTTGTCAATACTCGAATCAAATATCGGTGAAATTTTTGGGACTATTAAAGGTCTTAAAGATATCCAAACATTTGCTTCCTCATAGAGGAAGCTCTGTGATAGGCTCGAAAACGAGATTTTGAACCAGACCTCGTAGGACAATTTGGTTTATATATTTGTAAACTAGATTGAATTCTCAAAAAATTTTTTCAACAGTTTGTACAGATGAAAATTTTCAACAATTTTTAATGGCAAAAAAAATTGTTTACTCGACCTATTTAATAGTGCATTAGATAAGCAAAATACGTATATTAAAAAAAAACCATTCTTAACAAAAAATTACATCATTGTTTAGGAAACTCCAATAGTGCTCAACGTAGATTCTCAATTAAACTCTGGTTATTTATTATTTTTAACAAAAACAATAAACAAACAGGAAAATTGATATTTTACCTAAGTACCATGTCCATACTTTTGATATTATGTTTTATATGTGCTGCCGGGCTAAACACAATCACGCGGAAATCGAATAGCTGCCGGTGCGGAGCTCGCTGCTGCTGGGCGGCGCTTCGTATTTTCCCCCGCTTCTCGTATACTTTTAAGCTCCACCCTGTCGCTGTGTGTACACGACCATATATCGCGAGCATTTATATGTGTGCGTGAGCATGTGTGCGTGTGTAAGTATAAATATACGCGCGTGTGCGCAGCAGCAGCAGCGATTCGATTTTACAACTTTAATACACATACTTTTATAATAGGCACACGAATGTGTGTGGCGTACGTTGTTGAATGGATTGTGCTTTTATTATTATTGCGACTTGGAAATCGTATTACAGTTCGAGTGCGCGTATCAAGTACAAAAAGAAAAGAAGAAAATCAAGAAAAGACGTCGAATCTTAACTGTATATATATTATAATTTATAATTAAGCTTTACAAAAATGAAAATGAGAAAAAAATTATATTTGCACCTATGCATGTAGCAAAAAGAAAATATTCTCAGCGCGCATGATTATCAGCAAATGTGAGGCCGAGGCTGACAATTACACGTGCTTTGAGACTTTCGTTTTTCACTTCTTATTGGTGTAGTTTATGCTACACCATAAGGCACGCGAACACAGAGTACTATATATTTTCATTTATCAATGAACTACATTTGTCTAACATGGATACGTGTATACAAGAACAGTTCAATAATGCAGCGACAAGAAATGCGCGAGAGAAAAGATACGATATTTTCATCTTTCTTTTTGTTGTGTTCTTTTTTTTTTAATCTAAAACAGTACACGATAAAAAGAGCGAGTCACTCGATAAATGCACACGGGCTCCGGCGTGCAAAAATTGACACGTCGCTCGTTCTGCAGGTATATTATACGCAGCACAATTGTGTGTGTGTGTGTGTGTATCGTAGCATACGTAAGATATAAAAAGCTGCGGCCGTACGTACGATAAATCTCTTATTTTTTTTCTCTTGTTGCTCTCCGCGTGCAGCTACTTTTTAACTCGCGTATGCGCGTGTGTGTGTATACCAATACGCGATCTCCGTGGGCAACTGTGCTGCGAACGCGCGAGACATTTGCTCTTATTTCGTCGCGTCGCGCTACACACGAGCAAAGCTCCGCGCCGTGTACCGTGTGTTATAAGAGAGCAGCCGTGGTGTGCGCGGCGGCCGCGTTTATCGCTTATCGGGGCTCGCTTTGCTGTTTTCAGATATGGCCGCGCGCGATTCCCCCCGTGAGCTGCTGCCTCTTTGTGTATAAGTAAATGCCTGCCCTCTCAGCACAGCACAGATTAAATATCGTGTTTTTTACCCTCTCTCTCTCTTCCTCTCTCCCTTTTAAAAATTTAAAATTTATATGCGATACATCGTGTGTATAATTTGTTGGTACTTTTGTTCTATATTTATTTTTGCTTTTTCTCTGTCTCTTTGCAGAAGTTTCGAACTCTCTGTGCGTCGGCTGTGGTGGCCACATACACGATCAATACATACTGATGGTGTCGCCGGATCTCAAGTGGCACGCGGCCTGCCTCAAATGCGCCGCCTGTCAGCAGTTCCTCGACGAGAGCTGTACCTGCTTCGTGCGCGACGGCAAGACCTACTGCAAAAATGATTACGTCAGGTACTACAACTACTACTACTATTACCATCACCACCATCACCGACAGCACCAGCTCGAGGCGCAATTATCGTTTTATTTTTGTACTCCAGCGTGTATACAGCTGGGACAAGACCAGATATTATATATTATTTATATATTTATTTCGGACACACACGAAGACGGATTTTCGATATTTGTTTCTTTTCGCGCGCGCAAGCCTCGGAATATACATGTATATTCATTTGTTTTTCTACACGTCTGTCGGCTTGATAAGCTGCCAATCAAGCTCCTTCTCTCTCTCGTACGTGTGTGCGCACGACGAAGCAGCAGCTCTCGATTATATATTTGAGAAAGAAAGACAACCTTTCAGTCCCCGTTGTAACTCTTTTTTTTTCCTCGTTCACTTTTTTTCGCTCGCATACCGAGACAGTTTCGTAACGAGAAAATATCGTGGCGAACTCGCGCGAACAGACAACCGGATGCCTTTTTCTCCAATAACGCGTGCTTCTGTATATCTATATACACGCACGCTGCACCGCGCCGTGTAGGTGTGTACGCGCGATCGAAAAAAACGAGAGAGAGAGAGAGAGAGAGAGGAGCAAGAACAACAACGAGGTATATAATATAATGAAACATCGATTGTACTCTCGCGCGAGCTCGAGATATATTTTAAAAATACATCGTCGATGTTCGCGCGCGATGCACTACTAGATGCACCGCACGAGCAGCTCAATGGGATAAATGGATTCACAAATAGGCGCAGTGCAGCTCGAGAGTACCGAGCATACGTTTGGGGAGATTTAAATATAGCCGATGCTCGTATTATTAACAGGCGCGACTGTGTAGAGTATACCCCCCTATTTTTTTTTTCAACCGGTTGATTGTTTGAGCTCTATATATATATTGCAACTGCACTTGTTTTTCCCATGTTCGGAACAAACAATGGATAAATATAAATAAATACGATGAACATTATATAGTAAATGCTAATGTATGCTGTCTGATACCCAGGCTATTCGGCACCAAGTGCGAGAAATGCCGGCAGTCCTTCAAGAAGAACGACTTCGTGATGCGCGCCGCGACCAAGATCTACCACATGGGCTGCTTCTGCTGCGTGGCGTGCGGCCGACCGCTGACCACGGGCGACGAGTACGCGCTGCGAGCCAACGGCCTGTACTGCCGCGACGACCACTGCACCCTGGCCGGCGACAAGAGCGGCTGCCAGGAGCCGATTCTGGCCTCGGGCGGCGCCGCGGCGCCCCATCATCATCACGGTCATCATCATCACGGCCATCATCATCACCATCATCACGGTGGCGGCGGCGGGCCGCTCGGCATCAGCAACGAGAACAACAACAACGCCAATCTCACCAACAACAATCATCATCTGCACCAGAACGACGCGTCGCTCTCCGGTGAGACTCTCTCGATTTTTTTTTATCGCGATAACGCGCGAACAAAACGGCGCTCGATCGTCCCCGGATTATCAAAGGCCAATTTAATCTTCGCTGTGTAATGCAAAGACCATTTAAACGAAGATCCATCGAGCCCGCCCCTCTCTTTTACCCCGTTCGCGCGCACATCGTGCCTCGCATCAAGTATTAATTGTCCCCGAGATTATGCGTCCGTCGAACGTGCGTGCGGGATTACGCGTATGTCCACGCTAATGCTGCTACTACGAGGGAGTCAGGTGTTGATAATTGAAGTGACCTTCCCACCCCGGTCTCGAGAGCGGCTCTTCGCTGACATTTGGCCCGAGGATTATATCGACGTAAAACTTTAAGCCTTTGATGCCCTTATAACGTGCGGACTCGTGTACACGCGATTAGACCCGCCGACGATGGTCGTCATTTGTATGTTCTATATTAACATTTTCGGAGCGAACAGTATAGCGTACGGCGTGTCAGGATCCGCAACTCTCTGCCTCGCGCACACTCGACTATACGATGGTGAAATTCCGTTTGAGAATTTTCGAATATGTATAATGCATAATATACGTGACGCGCACGCGCGAGTATAATAATAATATAAAATATTATACGACAATGCTAATTTCAAACTTAAACTTGACGACATCGATTTGCCACTGGTAAATATACGCACACAATGTATTCTGTATGTATGTGTGTATATTGCCCCGCGTAATTATCACGTCGCGCACGCGTTGACTCGCGACTCGCGAGCCTTCTGTATATTTTGCGCCGTATACGCAGCTCGGTACTTCTTTATTCCGCCGTTGATACGTATATTTATAAGGCTCACCATTCATTATGGCCGCACGAGTCGCGAGTCGCGCGCGCGAGTGTCGTAGGCTATTTTTTTTCTTCTCTTATCGAAGTAGAAATCGATATGTATTTTTCATACTGTACATAGCTTCGTGCGCGAGGAATGTGTCGCGCACGCGTCCAACAACTTGACTATCGTTCGCAGGTAGCGTTAGACTCTCTAATTCCTTATATATTCTTTCGGGTATGTTAAATCGACCAGATTCTAGCATATTATAATACAAGCCCGCGCGAGCACGCAACATGCCAATCAAAATATCCATCCGGAATCCCGTTTTGGTTTTTTTTTTTTTCGTCGTCGTAATATTATACAGCATCCACTGAGCTCAAATTGAAATTCGTCGCTTTTCGAGATTTCTCGGCGTAGGTATATGAGATTTGCCAAATAAAAAAGGCCAGTAGCCGCGTAGAAAATGAAGCGAAAAAAAAAAGAAAAAAATCGTTGAATGACACACGCACGCACGCACGCACGCACACAGAGACATATCTGTCTCGATTCGGTACTCCTGTATAACGCGTAAATATATGCCGTATAATAAATATACGGGTGTCAAATGTAACACTCAAGCGTCAACTGCTACTATATACGCCTTTTGCTCATTCCTCTCTCTCTCTCTCTCTCTTCATCATATAATATAATATATTCGCCACTATTGCCGCGGCTCGTGTGTCCGCGCGCGAGCAGCAACCGGTAGCGGATTATAAACGCGCGCGCGTATGGACCGCGAGCGAGAGCTTCTTGAATTGAAAAGAATAAAAAGAAGAGAAGAAGAGAACCATTTCCTGTCTGCTTGATCGAAGGCTGTGCATAATTACCGAGAGATTTTACATTCCTTCTGTGTATTATGCCTCTGCTATTTTTTTTTGCTTCTCCTTCTTCTTCTTCGAGTTATTTATTTCACGCGTACAGGTGATTCACTTTTTGTGAGGCACGCACAGGTCGGGTATCCTTCATAGGAGTCGCGGCCTTATCTGCGCGCGACGCGATTATCCATTGTTTTAAACTTTTTTTTATCTCGCTAAACAAATTTACGCTCATTTTTTCGTATATAGATAATTATCTTTTCTAAACTCACAAGCGCGTATATAACAAACTCGAGTCGTTACTCCGAAGTTGCGTAATGTGTATATATAAATATACACATCTAAAATAACAAAAAAAAATCAAAAGGCCCGCGTCGCGCGAGCTTGTCCTTCGAAATTTTACCGGCTTGTATATCGAGACACGATTACAGACTTATAATAATCGATGATAAAAAAAATATAAAAAAGAACAGATAATATAAAAAGAACGAAGAAACGAGAATTGACATTGCAAAATTGCGCAGTTTGCCAAAGTTACATTTTATTGTACATTCGCACATCGCGTACACGACCATACGAAACGATCGGACATTACGCACATTTTTTTTCAATAATATAATATAATGAATACGGTGCGCGCACACGTGTAAGCCTATATCTCGCGCCCGATAAACGATCTCAAAGGCGAAATGCCGCGCGCGCTTGTGTGCCGCGTGTGCGTATAAACTCTTTTCTCGAGCAATGCGCGCTACGCGTATTATACCGAGCGAGGATTTTTTTCTTTCACTCTCCATCTCTTTTCTTTCGAGAGACATTTTGATTGCTTCTGCTCTGCGAAAACCACTTCGCAGTTAAAGTACCTAACTCTTTTTTTTTGGTCAAAAGGAGCTTCTCTGCACCGATCCTTTTTCTCTCTCTTTTTCTCGCCGTATGCGAATTTTTCGTCGACTTTGGGATTTCTTCTTCTTCTTCTTCTTCTTCTTCGTTTGCATGTGCACACGCGTGTGCGCCAGAGAGTAAGACAAGAGAGGCGGTATACGGTAAGAGAGAAAGAAAACGTTTGGGAGTAATTAAGAATTCATTTATGCCACACTCGAGCGCGAAACTCTTACTTATACTTACTTCGGGACGATGTTGATATATATATACGAAGTATACGCGTGTGCGTGACTTTGACTCGTTCCGATATATATAGTACTTGTTTTTTTGCTTTTTTATTTCTGTCGCGCGCGCCAACGGAATTATTTATCTATGTACCGCGATTCTCGATTCCTCAAACTCTCCATCTTTATTCGCGATTATCGCGAGTGTATATAATTGCGAGGCTAGTTACTCGAGAGCTAAAAAAATAATACCGAAAATCGGAGGAGTTCGTCGCGTTCGTGCGGCGGCAGAGGACAGAAAGAGAAATGTCATCGTTCGAGAAACAACGGGGACCGACTGGATCTCACTCAGTTCTTTTTTTCCTTTTTTTTTTTTGTCAACAGCGAGGGACTTGACCGTGCACAGCCGCATGAAAGCTCCGATATATAAACGTATATAGATAAACATATAGAAGGCTTTGGATCCGTCGGATAGGAGCATAACGCGCGCGAACCGACGAAGCAGCTATTTTCGCGTCCTAAGTAAATAAAACTGCTTCGGCGGCGGCGGCGGCGGTCCAAGTTTGCGACGCTAGGCGGCCAACTTCTTTCCTTTTTCGTCTTTGGAGTCTGTCCCACGGATTTCGGAGTACACACAATATGTGTACTTAGGCGTGCGTAGAGAGAAAGAAAAAGAGAGAGAAAGAGAGAGAAAAAAGACGAGTCTAGGAACGTCCAAGTTTTCGCAGTGTGCTGGGAAAGAGCAGCTTGGCTTGACTTGACCTTACAACTCCCCGGCTATTGCGGGTACGTTTACACAAATGTGCCGCCGTGTACCCCTTTGGTATACGTCACGATGTAAGACAACACCTATACATACAGGCTCCCTCGCTTTTATTTGTATGATAATATTATAGCTCGTACACCACATGTTGAACGGCACACACGTGAATCTAAAACAACAACGCTGTCCCTCGTTTTTTCCAGATTCCGAATCCGAGTCGGGCTCGCACAAGACCGTCGGCGGCGGCGGTGGCGGAGGCGGAGGCAACAGCGGAGGAGGAGGAGGCGGCGGCGGCGGCGGAGGAGGACGAGGCGGCAGCCACAAGGGCAGCGGCGCCGGGGCCGGCTCCGACGGCAAGCCCACCCGGGTGCGCACCGTCCTGAACGAGAAGCAGCTGCACACGCTGCGCAGCTGCTACTCGGCGAATCCGCGACCCGACGCCCTCATGAAGGAGCAACTGGTCGAGATGACGGGCCTCAGTCCGCGAGTGATTCGCGTCTGGTTCCAGAACAAGCGATGCAAGGACAAGAAGAAGACGATCGCCCTCAAGCAGCAGATGCAGCAGGAGAAGGACGGCAAGAGGCTGGGCTTCGGCGGCATGCACGGCATACCCATGGTGGCGAGCAGCCCGGTGCGCCACGAGAGCCCGATCGGTATGCCGCTCGAGGTGCAGGCCTACCAGCCGCCCTGGAAGGCCCTGTCGGACTTTGCCCTGCACACGGATCTCGAGCGGCTGGACCCGAACGCGCCGCCCTTTCACCACTTGGTCTCGCAGGTATTACAATTTTTCACTGAAATTCTAACTGCTGGTGCTCGCGAAAACAATCACTTTTACAATTGTGGCTTGAATTAATGCTTCTTTTTCACTGACTCCGAGAATTACCACTATTTGTGGCGAACACATTATATAATTGAATTAGTGTAATTTTGACCGACAAAGTCCTGCTTTGTTAACACTTTTTAAAGTATATTTTTTTCGTCCTAAAAGATTTAGACATAATTTTTTTCGTTTACAATTATTCCAGTCTCATTTTCATTGCCTAAATTTTTTTAAAATTGTCATTTTCGTTAATTATTACTTGCAGTAGTGCAAGTATGATTATTTTCGACAACATCAGTCGAAGAAAATTTTTTCGTAGGCACCAATTTATTAAGCTAACTCGACTCTCGAACTTTGCTATAACAAATTACTTTTCGTGTGTTTTTCCATAGATGCACGGCTACGACCTGCACGGCGGAGGTGGCGGCCCGGCACAGCTACCACCGCCCGGCATGTGCGGCGGCGGTGGTCCGATGGGTGGTGGCGACGTAGGCGGTCCCTTGGGTCCACCCGTGCCCCAGATGCATCAGAACGGGCCCGGGCCCGACATGGGCCAGCACCCGGACAGCACCGACAGCTACGTGACCTATCTCGAGAGCGACAGCGACTCGCTGCAGCACGACAACGGCAGTCCGTAGTTCGAGCACATGTTCGACATCGAGTGAAGAGACGCGGGAGAAGGATGTCGTTCCAAGCCCCGATTATAGCTCTCTCTCTCTCTCTCTCTACACGTGTTCTTTGACATTTGTATCGCGTAAAATTGTCGCGACGAAGAGTGAATTGAATCAAAGACGAAAAAGAAAAAAAAGTCGCGTGTGCCGATCGTCGTGAATGTCAAAGAACAAACTGCAGTTATTGTTTCAATTTTATATATAAATTTATATATACATAAATGAAAAAAAAAGTGAGTCGAACGATGTGCAGTTTTTAAAGGAAACCTTGCTAGTCGATAGATTGTGAAGCGATGAAAAAAAAAAGAATATGTTTGTGTTTCTTCTTTGCGACAAGCTTCGTTTTGAATTCGTGAACAATTTTAATATCGAGCAGGAAAATTGACACGGTGTTTTTCTCAAAGAGAAAGCCGAACAGATCGATTATTCTTGTCTCGCGTGCGAGTTGTTATAACTTTTTCAAGAAATTCAAAACTTGAGTTTGACGCTGAATGAGTGATTGTATACATCTTTTTTTTTTAATAAGTTAGGACGCGACCCGCCATCGCTATTGTTATTTAGTTTAAATCATTGTAAGCTTTAAAAGATTTATTTTTTATTAACCATTGTAAATAATCATTTGATACAGAAAACAATTTTAATGATAAAATAATTGTGAAAACGAGTGTGCGCATGTTGTGTTTATGTTGTGTATATATTATAAGATAAAGACAAATCGGATACTATATAGGAAGAAGATGAAAAAAAAATGAAAAAAATCGATTAGCTTTACAGTTTGAATAAAAATGAAAATGTACGGAGAGAAAAACTGAGATGAATAGTTGGATAGTTTGTAATAAAAAAAAGGGATATTTCTTCTTTTTTTCGTTACGTCGCGTCGTATCATATTGCGCATTGAAATATTTACAGTGTTCACGCTGAAATTTCGCCCGTTAACCCCCTGTGTACGATATATAATTACCAAACACAAATTGGAATAAGACGAAAAAAAAATAAGTGTGGGTCGCAACGATTGGCGAAAAATCGAGTGAACGTGTAAAAAAAATTGAATGCGACTTGATACGATAATACCAAAGGGAGTAGCGAAAGTAATAAATTAATTACGAAAAAATTATTGTAAATATATAAAATATATTATACAGACAAAAAACGAGCTGCAATTGCGATAATTATTAAGTAAATAAGAATTATCATCGACGACGCAAACATGGAGAAACGAAAAAATTAAATCGAACGACAAAAAAAATAATGATTTGTAACATATAACGAAAGCTACATGTATAGTCTTGATATTCGTGCGTCCGTTGGCAGGCAAACTGCCAATCATACACAATTGGCATTAAGGAGCTTGACGCGCACTGTCGTTTTTAGATTTTAAATTTATCCATCATTTTGTGGCCGAATTCAATCTCCGATCGACTGTCGAAAAGAAAGAAGGGTCGACGACAGATGAATTCGGAATTTGTATAATATTTCTATAAAAAAGTATAGGATTAAAAAAAATATGAAGATGATAATTTGAATGGTATTTTGTTATTACTAACCTTGAAAATATCCTTGAATCAATGATAATCCGAATGAATTTTAATCGATTCGAACGATGCCTATCTATTACTTTTTTAATTACTTTTTTTTTTAAATAATAAAATTTTTTATGCAGCCGTTTACTCATTCCGATGAAAAAGTGTCTTTTTATCTCGTTAATCATTAAAGGAAGATTAATTGTGCACGGTAAATAATATCATGGGGATAATAAATGCAGATGTAACGGAAAATTCACGAGTACTCGTAATAGAATTATTGAAAAATTGTTTCATACCCCGAAAACAAAGGATGTTACGTTTCCTTTTGAATCTCTTCGAGCTTCAATCTTGAATTTCACTATAAAAAATGCAAAATGACTAAACCATCGAAACACAATCTTCAAGTCCCACATATCTGATTTATTGCACTGATGTACAAATTTTCCGTTTTTCTGATGACATGAAATGCCAACTGTGAATAATCAATGCAGATTACAGACTCACTGTTTCATCTTGCCGTTCTACACAAATATTCAAAAAGTCACTCATTTTATTCACACGTTTTCTGCGTTACTTACAGAATACCGATATTTCTACACTATTTTACTTGTATGTTGTTTCTGGCATACAATTTGTAATACTTGAGTTCAGAATCAACTTTGGCAACAAAAATCTTACAGCAACATTGATTCGTATTTTTGGAAAAGGCGATCGGACCAACCGTTCACACTTCACCCACTGCTCCCACATGTCGTGACATCTAACGGTGTTCCCTCGTAGTTACACCTCTCGTGGAACCGCATGAGAAATTTGAAAAATAGAATCGCAAACAGCAAGTTTCATAATCTATTCATAATCTACTCGGTTGTACGTTGATGCAGTATTTTATTTTCATCGTTGATTAGAAGCTATAATACAGCTAAAATGCCGAAAAAAATTTTGGTATGTAGTTTAATTTTTTGAAATCAATTTATCGTTCGAATCGTCATAAATTCCTTTTTTGAAGCTTCAGTAGCTCGAGGTTATGTTTTTGTGTTTATTTTAATAAATTGTATATACAAAGTGATTCAGTGAATTCAGTTAGCAGCACATTTTTTAATGAGACATTACAAGTAACAAATGAATATTTCTTTTTTAGCCAAGAAATAGAGCAGCTCCACCAAAATTAACTAAGCCTCCACAATTGCCAAAAGCAACTGAAGTTGATTCAACGAATCAAGATGAATCAATAAGGACTGCTAGTGGTTTAACTCCTGAAGCTGAAGATCAGTTTGAAATAGAATTATGCTGGTGTATTCAACAGCTTGAATTAACCGTTAACGAAATAAGCAGTCAAGCTCAACAACAAAAAGATGCAGCTAACAGTAAAGAGAAGCAAATAATGGCCATGCACAGAAGTTTGAGATCTTTGAAGAGTAATAATGCATCATTAATTAAGAAGAGACAAATTATGAGAAATTTATTTGGAGATTACAGAGCTAAGATGGCTGAAGATGAAAAGAAATTAGCTAAAGAAGTGTCACAAGTTTCAGTAACTCATAAAGATAAATACGACAATATGAATAAAGGTGTATTTGTGAGAAAAGTTCATTGTCAAGCAAAGAGAATTAATTTAGAGACTACTGAATCTAATGAAGACAAAAAATCTGTTGAGAAAAAAGCACTCATAGTTCCAAATAGTTCTGATAAGCCATTCTCATTTAATTTCCAGATAGATACTGCAGGAACATCTTAATTCAATAAACTTGGGAATTTTATTTACTGTATTATAAGAACGAATGAAAATTACTGTAAATATTGTTGTCTACCATCAGCACGCATGGTACAATGTGATTATGAGAAAAGTATAAAGTTAAGAATGCTGACTAATGTAAATAAAATAGTTACTACTTCACAAGTTCAACACGCGCTAAAGGCTAATTTTGTATTGAAAGTTTTTTTCATTTTTCACAAATAAAAAAGTGGAAAATAAAAAATCTTAATTTATTTATGTTTTTGAATTTTCTGTTATAACAATTCAAAAATTTTCCAGACAAAAGTTGCAACAGAGAAGTTGCTTTATTGTACAAAGCATACCATTTGTCCTATTTTTAATTTTATTCAATAATTGAGTATAGATATCAAAATTTGAGACACGTGCTAGATTAATAATTTATTGATACGGAAAAATATTAAACGGCGAATATCGGCTTTTTACTTTTGATTACAATCGGCACGCTTTGACTCATTGAGATGCAACGCTTATGAATGGATGAAAAAATTACATCATTGGAGATTAGAAATTGTTATCTCTTGGCCGTGATTCATAATTAACGCAATGACTGATAAGCAGCGAATAAAATTACTAACATACTACGTCGGTCAGCGCCAGCATGAAAAGTCGCATGCTGTATGCGAGCGCAAAACAGCGCGAGAATCGATATTTAAAGCGCTGCGACTCCGAAATTGTTACTTTTTTTGTCTATTAAAAAACTCGATTCTCCCGCGCCACTGTCTATGCTATGGTGTAAAAGCACCTGATGAAATTTTTGCTGCGAGCGACGTCACTCGCTGTGTGTATAATATACAGTTTCTCGGTTCTTCAGCCACATAAGCGCATGCGAGTGCCACATTTAGGTGAAAAACAGCATTGCACGAGTACACACGGCCAGTATACAGTCATCAGAGTCCAACGTCATAACATCAATCGAAGTTATATCTCAGGATGGCAGACGAGGTAGCAGCGGGTCTGCAAAACGTCAGCGTCAGCGGAAACAAGAAAGACAAGGCACGATAACTTACAAAATAATCTTAAATATCTAAAATATTCTTCCGTCTCGAATCTGTCGTACTGGCGCGATCGCGCGTGTGTTGGCGTATTGTAGTGCAGTGCACAGGCCTCGATTATGCTGCCGAGCGCTTACCGGGTTTTGCTCTGCAGCACGTCGTCGTCGCCGTCTGCAATTTTGACCAAAGCTTCGAGATCCAAATACGAGATCTTCGTACGCTGGAAATCTCTTCGTACGCTGGTTGGTCTCTCATGCACATTTTTGTTATTATTAGATCTTTGCGGCCCCGTCGTGTTGTTCGTTTTTCACGTGCGCTGCCAAAAGTTGCCTGCTGCCTCGCGAATATTCCTCACATAACCTAACTCTCTCTGCGGCGATTTTGCAGTGTTTTGACTGTAGTTTTTGCTGTCAGTGTTTTTTAACGTTGTTGTTTGTTTTCCTCCCGTCGCTCGAGTGCCTTGCGACTGGCAACGACGATTTTTGCGTCATGGTTATCGATGCCACGAAGGTTGGGATGAGATTCAGTGAATGTTTCAATCGTTATGTTACCTTACATCATTGTGTACATGATCGCGTACATGAAAGATGGTATTGACCGTCTTTTCGAATTTGCCCTCATTATGCTAATATATTTTACTGTTTATGAAATTGCAACTCTCTAAGTAAATAATCCTGAGACAATTTATTTTTTCTTTGGGGTTTTTGCAGTGTTAATAACACTAACTAACTACCTTAACAATGGTTGAATTTCAATTTATTTAATGTTGTTGTTTACAGTCAAAAATGAAGCAGAAAGCAGCTAATCCTGAAAAAAGTGGGGTCAAAGAACTTAACCCATGGCCTACTTATATTCAGGTACATATTTTTCATACCACTATTATTTCTTCTTGTTCTATAAATTATTTAAATTTGTTTTTAGGAAAGAATAAGTTTGTTTGACAAACTTAAAGCAGAATATCAGGCAGAAATTGCCTCCAAAACACCAGAGGAGATCACGGTTACCCTGCCTGATGGTAAGACTGTTAAAGCTGAGTCATGGCGTTCAACTCCTTATGATGTGGCCAAAGGTATAAGCCAAGGTTTGGCTGACAGCACTATCATTGCCAAAGTCAATGATGAATTATGGGATTTGGACAGACCCCTGGAAGCTGACTGTAAGCTACAGCTTCTCAAGTTTGACAATCCAGAAGCTCAAGCTGTTTTCTGGCATTCGAGTGCTCACATTCTTGGTGAAGCTTTGGAAAGAGTTTATGGTGGTTGTTTATGTTATGGTCCACCCATTCAAGATGGTTACTATTATGATATGTACACTGGTGAAAAAGGTATTTCAGTTGATGATTATCCCTGCCTTGATTCACTGTTCAAAAACATAGTCAAGGAGAAACAGCCTTTTGAAAGGCTGGAGATGAAAAAAGAAGATTTATTAGAAATGTTCAAGTACAATGAATTCAAAGTTAGAATTTTAAATGAAAAAGTTAAAACCCCTACTACTACAGTATACAGGTAATTCAAATTAAAACGTCAATTATCAAAACTATTATATCACAAAACCACATATTTGATAATTATGAATTTCTTCCATCTTAGATGTGGTCCACTGATCGATTTGTGCCGAGGCCCACACGTTCGTAATACCGGTAAAATCAAAGCCGCCAAAGTAACGAAAAGCTCGTCCGCCTATTGGGAGGGTGACGCGAAAGCCGAGACACTCCAACGAGTTTACGGTATCAGTTTCCCAGACTCCAAACTGCTCAAAGAGTGGGAGAAAATTCAAGAGGAAGCGGCGAAACGCGATCATCGTAAAATTGGCAAAGAGCAGGAGCTGTTCTTTTTCCACGAGTTGTCGCCCGGTTCGTGCTTCTTCCAACCTCGCGGAGCACACATTTACAATACCCTCATTGAATTCATTCGTGGCGAGTACAGAAAGAGAGGCTTTCAAGAAGTTGTCACGCCCAACATTTACAACAGTAAATTATGGCAGACTTCTGGCCATTGGCAACATTACGCAGAAAACATGTTCTCGTTCGATGTTGAAAAGGAAACATTTGCGCTAAAGCCCATGAATTGCCCAGGTCACTGCATGATCTTCGATGTCCGAAATCGGTATGCTAAGCACATCAACAATTAATACATTTAATATTTAAATCTATTGTTTATTTCATTATTTGATCGACAGGTCGTGGAGGGAATTGCCTCTCCGCATGGCTGATTTTGGTGTGCTGCATCGTAACGAACTTTCCGGTGCCCTGACCGGTCTGACGCGCGTACGTCGTTTCCAGCAAGACGACGCCCACATTTTCTGTACGGCGGAACAAATAAAAAATGAAGTCACCGGTGCCTTGGATTTCCTTGACAAGGTCTACTCGGTCTTTGGTTTCAGCTTCAACTTGTGCCTTTCGACGAGGCCTGATAAGTATATGGGAGAGATCGCCGTTTGGGACGCCGCGGAAAAATCCTTGAGCGAGAGTCTCGACGCTTTCGGCAAGCCCTGGACTTTGAATCCCGGCGATGGTGCTTTTTACGGACCCAAGATTGACATTACGATTTTGGATGCACTCAAGAGAGCTCATCAGTGCGCCACTATTCAATTAGATTTCCAGTTGCCAATTAGGTTCAATTTGAGTTATGTGAAGTAAGTGTGACCCTTTGTTCAAATACTCTTCAAACTTTTCAACATTTCTATTTTACAATTTTCATTTATTTTTAAATAGCGAAACTGGTGAGAAAACTAGACCAGTAATCATTCACCGTGCTATTTTGGGATCAGTTGAGCGAATGATTGCCATTTTGACTGAATCTTATGCCGGAAAATGGCCATTCTGGCTGTCCCCGCGACAGGTGATGGTTGTCCCAGTTGGTCCAAGTATCGACGAGTACGCCGAAGAAGTTCGTAAACGTATTTACGAAGCAGGTTTCATGGCTGAAGTCGACACCGATCACGGTGACACGCTTAACAAAAAAATTAGGAATGCTCAATTAGATCAGTTCAACTTCATTCTCGGTAAGATTTAAATAAATAATCTTGAAACACTGAAAATGAAATAAAACGAAATAACTTGAATGTTAAATTTTTCAGTCGTTGGCGAGAAAGAGAAGACTTCGGGTACAGTTAACGTGAGAACGCGAGACAACAAAGTTCACGGAGAGATTCAAGTTGACGACCTTATTAAAAAATTCAACGGTTTCAAGGAATCAAAGGCAATGAATTGCGAAGAAAACTTCTAAATTACCTCTGAATTCTAGATTCTTTTCATAAATCATGAAAAAAAAATTGCCACCTACTTTTGCTAAAAGTAATAAATCCAATAATAAGTTTTACACGTAACTAGTACAAATTTTCACATTTTTTGTACAAAAATGATAGCTAATTATTATGTAATTATGATGCTAAATAAAAAGAAAATTAAATCAGAAATAGACTTTGAAAATAATAGGTTTTTGTTTTATACTTCATTTTTTTAATAAGCAAACAACTTAAATATTTATAATTATCATTATCTTATTACTTATTACATATACATTATTACATATACTTACTACATATTGCTAGTTTCAGTAAATAAAATCGAACTGCAATTTTGCTCGGACTTTCAAAAACATTGGACACAAAAAATTTAAGAGTTATTTTAATGCGATTAAAAGGAAAATAAATATCCTTTCCAAAAATTGAATAACATTTTTTTTCGAAGAGATTTTTTAAACGATTTTCAACTTTCTTTTAGCTTTCATCTAATGAGTAAAAGAGGTAGAAGAAACGTATACAACACAATTTTTCGTGAATCCCCCAGCCTAAAGTAACATTTTAGTTTTGCTCAGTGGGAGTAAAATGTTACTTTAGGTTGGGGTGTCACAAATTAGTATATTTTGCGCCTAGGGAGTGAAAAATGTACTATTTTACTCGATAATAATCATCAATCTAAAATTTATTGATAATCAAAGTAATGATCGATCATAACGAAGATGCCCGTGGCCACGGTGATATTTGTCTTGAATTATTTTTGGTCCTTTTCTTATGTGGATAGTAAACGAGGAAGAAGTATATAAAAAAGTATCAAGTATCATACATTTATTGTAATCGTTATGAATTTCAAAAGTTTTGCCATTCTGTTTATTCAATGAATTAATTTAATGATTTATTCAATCATACCTATACTGATTAAGAAAAGCCACTTATCAACTCGGACTTTAAAATGATTGCAGCATATTGTAAACTTAAGTCCAAAGCCTAATTCAAATAAAAAAATATTAAAAACTTTTATAACTTTCAAGTTATCAAATGAAACAGCCATCTTACACTTAAAAGAAGCACACAATTGAAATTTAAATAATTAAAAATTCCAAAAAATGGCTTGTTTTCTTTTGAATAAATCATAAATGCCTTGAACTGAAAAATTATCAGTTATTTCATTATAATTTGATTATAAATTTGAATGAAAGTTCTTTACTAACTTATACTAACTTGTTGAGTTATTTTCTTTTCAGGTTGATTTTTGAAAGAATATTCAATTATGTTTTTTTCAATTTTTTTACACTGTAAAAGTAAAATCATTATTCATTTATTCAATTTTTGAAAAAATGATATTTTACCACAAACCTCATTAGAATTGAACGAAGACATTATAACAATTTCGAAAAAACTGCATGACATGAATAAAGTGCACAAAATATTTCCAACTTCCCAAACTGCCGAAGTTATATTTCGTTGAAAAAATATTACATATACGACATTAAAAATCAATCCGATCATTTCAATATAAGCGAAAGAAATGTAAAACATCATCGGTAGTGAATAAAATCGTTGCAACCGAAATGATAATTTAGTCGCACCTATGTGAAGCTTCCATAATTGCAAAATTTCATCAACAATGTGATTTACATAACCGTTAGAGGTATTTGTCATAATATCAAGACTTTGATGCAATTCATCAAGCACCATGTTGAGTCTTTTATTGATGACTTTATAAGCAAACAGAGAAATATTTACTATAGCACAATATTGATAAGAAAAAATTGATGAAAAAATTGTTCTGAAAGATAATAGGTATCTAAGGGAATATGGCAGTTTGTTAAACGGATACAAGAAAAATATAAAATTGATAATTATTAACATTACTAATTTGTATGCAAGTAATATTTTTAATAACTTACTATCTTTTCTATCATTTTTATCGAGTTTTAAAAGAACATTTTCCATTAAAATTATCAATTTATTACATTTAGTAGTTATAGAAGAAATATCTTTTACTTTAACGATGTAAATATATAATGACAAGAAGTACGAAGTACAATAACATGCAAGAGAAATCGATGTACGCGTAGTTTGAGCTAATCCAAGTGATGTACTCATCCATTGATATATATAATTGAATGATTCAAAAAGAGTGAACCCACTAAGACAAGTTTGGCAAATAATAATGACAACTGTGAGCTTAGATACCGATGCGTAGTAAATAATGCGATGACCTTTTTCGTGACAATGAATGGTTGAAGCTAAGCCCACAAACTTCAGTAGTGCTAATGACCATTTTTCTTTATAGTGGTGATTTTTAAAAGATATTATTTTATGTGCTAAAGTATCTCGTACACCCATTATTCTTTGAATAACTATATCCTATAACTATAGCTATCCTTATGGATGGACAGATTAACGTGCAATGAAGTTCATTCATAGCACAAAGCTCAACAGTATTGATTTCAAATCTGCAGCATGTTTCCAATATTTACATCATACATATTTTATCGTTCGTGAATGACCTTAGAGTGAACAATTTTAAGTGACTTTAGCTAATTGACAATTAAGTTTAACATGCAAACATTTTGTGCAAAAATAAAATATGTTTCTGTATGTACTATATATCGTAATTTTAAGCTGTTTTTATTACTTCGAAATGTATTATTTTAAATGTAATTGAGCAGTGCAAATTTAATACAATAAAAATGCAAACATTATAATTTGCTGTACAGTAAAAATGGAAAATGTTCTGTTATCAAAAATATTTTTGATGTTGCACGTTTGATCAGTGATCGCATTACACTGTGATTCACTTCCAAAAAAAGTAAGTGAACGCTGAATATTTATTGGCGATCGAATCAAGTAGCCCAAACTTATGCAATTATCAAGACAAATTAGGATCGTCAGAATTGTAACAAAAGCGAAAGTTAATTCAATCTGCTCGGTTACCGATATACCGAACTTCTTGCATTATTGCCAGAAATAGAGACAATTGAACGTGGCCCATTGAAGCGGTGTCTAGATTGAATTGTCACGGACATCGACCTGCACTGTCTGTTGTACGTCATTGATGGTCTGGAAAAATACCTTCATCGTGTCGTTGGAACTATGGCGTGCTAAGTTCCAATTAAAACGAGAATAAAAACGTTAAGATTCGTTGAATGTGTTAAAAATTACATCCTTAAAATAAAATAAGAGTTATCTTTGATTTTGTTACTTTTTTAAAGGTCAAGTTGTAACTACATAAAAAGTCTTTGAAATTATTGTATTGTCTAAATATATTTCCTGTCCTACGTTGTTGTGTAGAAATAAAAAAATTTGAAAATGAGTTATTATTTATAAGGAAGAAGCAACTTGCCAATGAATCGACCGCTGGGTTTTTCTCATGAAATGTTCTTTTTTCTCTCATAATTTTTATGAAACCTTGAAACATTTTTGAGAAAATTTTACTTTGAATGAATAGCGCTAGTAAATAAGATAAAATATCTATTCAAAAATTAGTGTCAGTTCGTATAGAACAAAAAATTAAGTAATTTAATAAAAAATTATAAATACATAAAATCGAATGATAAAATGAATGATTTTTACAAATTACTCATTAAATTTCAAAGTACTTTTTTCCATAGTCATCTTGAAGATGTTTTTATTGTATCATTTTTACTTAAAATTTGAATATTTTGTTTATGTACTATTTTATGCAGTAGTTATGTCATTTAATTGTACAAATTTATTTTACAATAATTCTATCGGGTATTATTTATAGAACCTGCATTTATCCTGTAGTTTTTTTGACACATTTATCATTCTTCTATTGATTTCCATACGTTTTTAAAAAGAGGTAGATATTTATAAATCATTTCCAGTTGCACAGTTAAAACAATAACCGAAGAAAATGTTTTTTAAACATAGTCGTTGAGAATAAATTTTTTTTCACAAGATCCACCCCATATAAATTTTTTATAACGGTTTTCGTGAATTATAGTAAACACGTCGTCATAGTTTCATTTTCTTTCATTTACTTGATATTTTGAATTCCAGTAAATTTTATCTCATTTTAAGACTCTACTTTTGATCATTTTACTGCGTCAACCTTATAGTGGTAACATTTTTTACATACTTTTATTAACAATGTACGCTATTTCACTATTAGTAAGATCTGATCATATTAATATTTTTTTTCTTTTTTTTTTTTTTGACAATTTGATCAACATGATTTAATTTGTTCTAAATCTGATTATTTATTTTAATTCAATTGAAATGATTATTATTTTTTACAGTACTGCATACTTATTCTAAAAAGATTTATTTACAAAATTTTCAAACATTCATCTCAATCTTGAAATCTTCCTAAACTCATAAAGCGATTGACATTATAAATTTCATCCTTGATACAATGACACATAATAAAATAAATAGATAAGTATAACAAATCGAGATATTGGAAGACTGTACACACATTATCTACTGTATCGTTTCTCAATTCAGTACAATACTCTCAAATTTCCAATGTAACAACATATTCGTCATTAAAAAATTAAGCACTTTGTTTCAGCGAAAATGATTAAATTCACACAAATTTAAAATAAATACAATAGATACAATTGTTTGTATGTACTTGTAAATTGTGTTTATTTGGCTAACGATGTTATTTTAAAACCAAAGGTTTTCAAGAAGTTAAGCTTTTTTTTTAATTTTTCGTATTTATTAAGTACATTATGTGATTATTTTTTTGCTTGTTTTTATATCGAGTTTAAACGCTCAACATATTAATATCTTTAAATTAATATTCAGTACAACATTTGTGATGTTATATTAGAATAAATTATTCAATACAGATCTTGATTATATGTACAGTATATAAAATGCAACGGTAAAAAAATTAAATTTACACAATACAATAATGTATACACAAAATATCATGTGAGTATATTAGGATACAAGAAATCACAATTAAAAGATCATCACAAAAAAAGTGAGACGTTATTCATTAGTCATTAAAATGCAATCGATCAGTTAAACAATAAATCAGTCATACACTTGCATTCAGATTTTCCATAAAAATTCCTACTGTTAAAGTATTCAGAATTAAGGCATGTAAACTAGATAATGTTAAAACATTTAAATTATACTTAATTTCTAAAATCTAATAATTACACACGAAAAAATTCTAACGCATTTTTTCAATATAATCTTACAAATATCGATTCTTTTACTTTTTATTTTTTCTCATAATTTTCTTCTGTTGGTCGGATTTACAACAATAACAATTAATAAGTCTCTTTTCGGAATACCTCGCGGCTAATATACATTCACCGCCAAATGTATTTATAATATATACGTCTTTTGCGGACTAGAAGCAACGCGTCAGGTTGCGCATTTATAAAAGATCGCAATTTATCTTCGTTTCCGTGATTCCGATATTGGTTCTGAATCAGTGTATGTAATAAGTATGTTATATTGCTTCGTTTTTATGTTACTCATTACTTGTTTGTTCATTTTAATTATATTATCGGTAAGTGTCTCGGATGTGTGATGTATATGCAAAAAAAGCATATCGGAAAAAGGACAATACTAGATACTAAAATAACCATATAAAATGTCATCGGATTTTTTCTATACTAACGAAACAGTACACAATTTCATTACTCGCACGAAAAATCGAGCTGCACGACACGTTCCAAAACTTTTTACTTGAAGCGTTAATGAGTTGGCCTTCACGGAAGGCATGTAAAAAATCATTGTAACAAAGCATTCTTAAAATCGTTCACCATTCATAAGGTATAAAAATCAAAATAAAACCGTAGTACAAATTCGTCTCATTTTGTTCGTTCTCATACTCACAAGACTCATGCTAATAGTTAGCAAACAATTTGTTCTTTTTTCATTTCATCACACTCAAGTTTGCTTTTTTTTACTGTTGTGAAAGAGAGCAAACATTAATATGCTTAAATATATACTTATTGTGGTGTGTCTTTGTGTATCCTACGTTTTTGTACCGCATAATCAATAATCTGCATCTTTATGAAGGTATAATTTTTTTTGTAAATGATTTTACAAAGGCAGTGTATAATACTTTTATGAAATGAGCAGGTGTATATACTTCAAATAACCTAGTATTCGTCTTAGATTAGTTGGAATTCCATGAGTCGGTTTTTGTAGTAAATGTGTAATGACACATAATGTGTACTAGAGATCTAATTTTTTTCTTTTTTGTTTTGTTCGTATAGGAACCTGTATATTTGCATGTGTATTATGCTTCAAATACTTTTAATGCTCGTTTTTGACACTTCGTCACGTGTACATAATGTACAAAAGTTGTCAGTGAGAATAATTCGTCTTTTGATTTTAAATTTAAAAGATATATTACGTGTAAATTGTGTAATGCTTGTATAAGGTGTTTACGATGCAGTTGGTGTATCAAGATCAATTAATTGCACGAAGATGTTTCTTCGGTATTTCTCTCTCTTTCTCCCCTTCGTTCATTATATTTAACTTGCCGTCTCGAATCAGCCGTGAATCACTGCTCTCGAAAAGTCAGCGTGTTTTAGCCTGCGGAGAAAATCCATATCGTTAACATGACGCAATGATAAGACTCGATGCGTGGTTATATTTTTCAAACTTACCTCGTCATCTACGACAGGCGCCGGTGTGGCGACGGCGGCGACGACTGGAGGAATGACGGGGTTCGCCGCCGCCGCTGCCGGATTAGCGATCACCGTATTTTGCTTAACGAATTGAGGTTTAACGGGCGTCGTCGTCGCAGCCGCCGCCGTTTCTCCGATGGCAGCTGCGCTCGACTCGGCACGGCGCAGGAAAGCCGCGTCCTTTTTCGGTGGCACGATGGGTTTGTTGGGTGGCACCGGTGGCGGAGTGCCTCGGGCCAGCGCCGCCGCCGCCGCAGCTCCCGCGGCCAGGGCGACACCGCCGACTTTTTTCACGGCTATGACTGTACCGGTCGAGCCCGCTGCGCCTGGCACGACTGGCCGCTTCAAGCCCTGAGAATTGATAAAAGCACATGTTCGATGATATGACAATGAGAGGAGACGAGGATACGAAATGATTGTTATTTTGTTAGTGCGAAAAAGATTAAAATTAGAGAAGAATAATAAGAGGCAGTTTGTATGAGATGAGTGTAGTCGATCGAAAAAAACACATAATTCACATTCATGATATCAGGATATACAAAAAGAACGAAAGAGTTTGAATTTTTTTCTGAAACAACATTGCTTTAATACAATAAATTATTTCTTTGAGTACAATTCCAAAATTACCATAACAGTACAGTACTACGCAAAAATAAAATTAACGAAAAGCTGGACTGCAATAGAAAATTGTTTTTTATATTACAAAGCCAAACAATTTCAACCTCATACTCGTTTCTCGAAAAGTAAAATGTTTCACTCATGCACGTTAATCGTGCACACCGCAGTGTAAAAAAACGTCAGTAATTTTCATTTAAATGTAATAAGAAACCTATCACGTTAAGGTTTTTACATAGTTCGTTTTTTTGCGATAAGTTTTTATCTCAAGAAGAAACTAAGCTTTATTTTCTAACAAGACTAGATGCTAGGCAATACGTTTGCCTTGTCAAACATTTCAGCTACAACTTTATTCTCTTTTTTATTTAGAATACTATTATCAGCTAAACTAAAGACATTTACAGTATTTATGTATATGATAGCAAAAATAAAATATAATTTATAAATCTTATTTAAGCTAGTTTTTCGCTAAAATTATCATACTAAACGTATGATGAATAAATGGTTTCTAAAACCTATTTGTACTAGATTCGTCCTTAAAAATCTACAATTCGCTAAGCATCATAAAATTTAGTCGTCATTGGTGTTTTTGAAAGTGAAAGGTAAAATAGTACTATCAGTTATACGGATTCAATTGAATAATAGAAATCTCATTGGTGCGCAGATAATCTCTTCGGGATAACACGCCGCATCTGTCTAGGTATACTTATTTCGTCATGCTCATGTTGCGCCAGCACACAATTATTTACTTAAATTTTTTTCAATTCTTTGGTGTTTGGGGATTATTATACATTTGTTACAAGAAATTAAAAATTTTAGGTAAGGGAGTTTGATATGCGTTCAGTTTCAAAAGGCACTCGAAAATAAATTTTTTTTCGGAAAAATAGTTTTAAAAATATTGAGAGAATTAATCGGGAACGTTGAACTCTCCTCATATAAGAGTAGAATGGCTAGGATAGTACGGATAGTTTACCTGTGCAGGCGTAGAATCTTGACTCGCCGCGGACTCGATCGAACTGGCGGCTACGAATGCCGCTGCACCTCGTAACGCTTGACCTGGTTGCACGGAACGCGCTATGCCTGTGGCTGTGGGGGAAAAAACACAGGCGTTCAATATTTTTATATTTTTATATTTAAAAGCAAATGAGAAAAAAAGTTTATCGCGACTTACTCGGACCGCTGACTGGAACACTCGATACCGTAGCCGTGGGTTGAACCACTTTGCTACTGACCATAGGCGTTCCTGCCCCTAATACGGCTCCTTTTACTGTAAATATCAGGCCATTAGTATACGTTATATTTATTTTTATAATAATAAAAACTAATGAATGCAGAAAAATCCTACCACTCGCGACAGCATTCGCAGCGGTGGCTCGCAGTCCAGGCATGGCTGCCAAATTCGCTGGCTTTGCCGGTGGCGGTGGAGGCGTCACTCCAACTCCACCCCGTTTTACCAATTGTTCTCGCAGCTGCTCGATTTCGGCGCGTAATTTTTCGTTCTCGGCTTGGAGCTCGTTGAATTTTTTCTCTTTGCTTGCCGTGCTTTGTCGATACTGCGATCTCTCGATGTCGTAAGAGACCGCTTGCTTTTCCATTTCTGCCTCCATTAAAGTCGCTTTTTTGGTTTCCTCTTCGAGGCTTTCAGCCATTGAATTGACGCGCACCTGCAAGCGCGAATCATTAGTTTTCGTAAGTAAATATCACAATAAAAAGTTTGGTGTGAAACTGCAAGTTAATCAAAATGTTAATTTACAGCGGCATAATCTTTATTTTAAACATTATTAAAGAGTCTATATTTACTAATTTAAAGCTGTATTACCTTTTCTTCACTGAGAATTTGCGCGAGATCTTCCGATCTCTTTCTTTCTTCGATGTATTTCATTATAATTTTTTTACGCTCGGCTAACAAAACTAGAACGATTTGTTTATGCCGATTTTTTTCTTCTTGAAGAACATCATTAGCTACTTTGACTTCGCCTTCAAGTCGCTTTTTCTCCTGACGCTCAAGTTCTAATTCTTTCATCAAACGCAAACGTTCTTTTTCTAATGCAGAATCCGATCCGTCTCCCAACGCTGCGATTGGCTGATTTTTACGACGTTCTTCTTCCAGTTCTCTCACGACCTAAAATAATGAATTTTTCACAATGGATGTTTTAGATATTTCAAAGAATTAATGAATGCAAATGTTACATACATTTCTGTGTCTAAGCTCTGAATGTTTTAAGAGATTTGCCATATGGCTCTTCAGATACCTTTGTCGACCAACTAAGTTTTCTAAAGTAGTTGCTAATTGTTCCATGTGATTATTTTGAGATCCACTTGAGCCACAAGTGATTGCAGTATCTCTGGATAATGCAGAATGTGGGTCAGATGTTCCACTTCGGTATCTTGAATTTAGTAATTGCTTCAATTTTTCAGACTAAATTTAAAAATTAAATCATTTTAGTATTTTTTGAATTAATTATTAAAAAAAAATCAACTTTTTTATAAATACCTTCAATGTAGCTATCACAATATCTCGGGCTTGTAGCTCTCCTTCTAAGTAACCGAGTAACTTGAGCAGATCTGTTTTACACATTTCCATTTTTGGGTTACGCTAAAAAGATAATTTTTCTTCAAGATTTTTCTCTGTACATTGATTAATTACTTAAATTATTAGACTATTACTATGCAATGAGTAGAAATTAAATAAATCATCACTATGTGTAAAAGTAACTTCATTCAATTAGCCAAGAAAACTATTTAATTTACTTGTTTTGTTAACTGAAAGTAATTTTATAAATGCTAATTAAATTAGCACTGTACTTCTTAATTAATACTCTGAGTGTAAATGCAATCAAAGTAGTTAAAGACTGATTGAGGTGAATAAAAAAAATTGACAATCATAAAATTTTCCTAAATACTGTACACAATGAAGATTATAAAATAATTATTTCGGATGGTTTTATAAAAACATTAAAATTGTTTACTTTACTGAAAACATAGTAGTATTAGAGACATAATCAATTCATTTAGAGAGATCGCATCTGACAGGCTATAGCACGAGCTCACACACAGATAAGAATTCTTTCTGTCAGAATCGCTACTCCTAAAATCACAGTCGCACAAATAAACACACCCACGGAATGCTTTGCATGGTATCCCATAACCTTAACGGGCGGATAAGTACACACACGGAGGGTACTCTATATGTACACATACACAATTGCAATCCCTCCGCGGGGACAGACCCATCAATCATGCACGCAAACGCGCCTGCAGCAGCTGCACTCACCTTGAGCGTGTTCGAGGTGGTCTTGTCGAGGGGCTCGTAATTGTTGCTGTTGGTGGCAGCCGCCTCCTGCCTCTGCGTGGGCGACATGTTCGCCATGATCAGCGGTGCAGCCGCAGCGCGGATTATGGTATTGGTGTCCGGTCCATTGGCAGCAGCAGCTGAATTCGCGACGGTGGTCGTCGGCCCGCTGCCGCCGCTGCTACTCGGTCCAGTGCTGGCCATAATGCTGCTGCTGCTGCTACTGCTGCTGTTGCTCGTCCTCGTCACTTTGGCCAATTTTTCCCGCGGACCCTGTATCCTTGGGATTTTTGTTTGCACGCACTCACGCACACGCACGTAGATGCACTCGATTAGGGGCAAGTCGCGCACCACACTCTCGCGCGCGCGGCTGCACCGAATCAACAGAACACAGTTCACCACACGTTTACAGTATAAAATTATCTATATAAATAGCCGCTCGACGACAAGCAGCGACGCGTCATCCTCTCGTCCTAGTAGTCGCGAGCAGACTGAATTGCTAATTTTTCTCGGTTCCCCCCCTAATAATAAGCGTGGATGTGACTTTCGCACGACAGCGACGTTCTACACTGCAGTCGTTGACAAGTCGCTGCTGCTGCTACTGCTGCTCCTTCGCTTGTCATAATAATCGCACGCCCACGACTGATGACTCTCGAAGCCACAACGCTGTTGATCATCGATGCTGCTACTACTGCTACCACGGGCTTCTGCTGCTGCTGCTGCTGCTGCTACTGCTACTGCTCCGACTAGGTCTCGCTCCGACGACGAATGCATCATACGATACGCCGCTGGACTTGATGTTTAGATATAAAAAAAAAAATTGTTCACTATTACCGATACAACATGACGATGACTCGGGCGCGTGCAATTGACACACGAGAATCTGACTCGACGACGTGTAGATTGTATATTTCTCAAGTTTACGCTCTTATGTCATAGGCAAAGTCGCGGATATGTATATTTCTGTTTGTTATTGTTGTGCCTTGAGCTTTTTCTTTCCTCTTCTTCGCGCGCCTCTTATCCAATGATGCACTTCAATCGTCGACTACGACACATAGTAGGAGCTTATACGCGATTGCGTTGGACTTTAAGTAGGTATATACACACACGTAGTACTACGCTCTATAATGTATAGCTATACATGTAACAAAGTGCGCGAAGCCCCAAAACTGCAGCCAAGAGTGCTAACTTGCATACACGCACACACACACTGCACTCCGCCGCACTATTCTCTTCTCCTGCTGCGCGCGGCCAAAGATTATCCGGATCTCGCCAGCGCCACCTGAAATAAGGGTTTGAAAGAGTCGAAAATTGATTCAGACATGTCTGGACTCTGGTATGAATGAAACGTGACAAATATTTTGGATCGGTTGAATGACAATTAATCTTGTATAATGTTTTTTCTTAGTTATTTTATTTATTAATTTTTAGAATAAAAACAATCGTCAACCACATAAAACGTGCGCTCGGGGATAAAAATCCGATCCTTCGACCGCACTCGCAATTTTTTCCTCTCATCTTTGAAGATTGACACTTCTATTACGTACATTTGCGATTTATAAACTATACAATTCAATAAGGACGTATGAGTATTAAAACTACCTTCACTAATTCATCTTTGTAAAAAAAACACAATGAAAAAAACATGGTACTATAAATATGTGAGCATTAATTCTTATTTGCTACGTTTATAAACTACTATAAATACAATGCCGATTTCACATTCGTTTAAGTATATATAATTGATATACAGGCAATTGTTGGGGCGGATTAAAATATCTATATTTGTCACTTTATTTTACCTTGTTCAGTTCCGATATGGTATACATATGATATAGAAATATTAATTGTGCGTACGTTTTCGGTGCGCTTAACATGAATTATTTTTTATAATATCATTCGAATAATCATTATGCGATATAATTAATTCGTTTAAATTCGGCTTTTTATACTGCGGTTTGGCACTAAAACACTCGACGATGAACATAAATCGTATAAGTCATCGTGTTTTTCTTTTTTTTTTTTAATGAATAAGAAAAGGTTTTTCTCATTTTTGTATGCATTGTCATTAGCGGTGTCAAGTACCGCTAAATTTTTGCTTTCCAGATCACCGCATTCAGTCCAATAATCTATCATCAAATTTATCTTTCTTAAATTACTCACATGATTTAAATGTTTCGAGTATATTATTACAGTTTGTTATAAATATGATACAATTTTTTTTTGAATGAATAAGGTTGAAAAAGTACAAAAATAGGTTTCGATGTTTACGTATTTGTTTTTTTTTGTGTAAAGGTACTTTGGCACTACGAATACAATTAGGGGGCATCATTTTTAATTTTTTGTACTCAGGGACATACACTTCGTGTGATGAATTTTTTTTCAATTATATATTTTTTTTTTACCGAAAACGCCGATTCAACAATACGTAAATCTCTTAGCAAGGTTCGGCACGTAATTATTACTTTCAATAAGCATTTTTTAGAAAAATTTTTCACAGATCATTTTCTTTTTGTATACTAATAAATCTTACGAGGTAAAAATCGTACAAAAACTTCATTGAAAACGGCCTTACGTATAAAAAATGCACTGGGCCATAAATGCATTTAATATCATTCTAACATTTATATTTAATATTTATAATATGAATATCTCGTATAACTAACTCATTAAAACTAGATTATTGGATTACATAATTTTCTTATAATAACTTTGGACATTATTTTTACAGATCATCAAGCCGGTTTATATAACTACTTGTAGATATTAATATATAATTGCACTGCTGTTCATATGTTGTACAAGTAGTTGTTTCATATATGACTAATATGATTGCATATAAAATTTCTCTTTATATTTAATAAATTGCATCAAGGACATATGGATCTTTCGATAAAATGTACATGGATGTTCCCCACAAAGATTAGCACGTTTAAGTGTTAAATTAAATGGAGAAGTGTTACTCTTCATAGGGAGCGTCAATATACCGCCGTAAGTACACGATAAAGAAACATATGCCACCATCAGAGATATTAAAAAATTCATAATTGTTGGACGTGTACATTTCAAACGAAACAAATCGTTTTAAAAAAGTTGGAAGACGAACTTACATTATGGACACTACATTAACATAAATCAGGTATAACTATTATAATACCTTAAATTACATATGAAAACTTTTAGATAAAGCTAATTATTAAATTATCCAAAATTACATTAAAAAATTAAAAAATCGAATCAAATTTACAATTGAAAATCGACGACTAAATTATGGTTGGCATGAAAAAATCATGTACGTTAAGAAACTAATATCAAAAATAAGTAACAATATATCGTTATGTTAATTTTTCGTAATCTCATCAACCGGAGTATTTATAAAACTATCGTTTTTGTAAAAATTGATTTTAAAAAACATCTATACAATCAAATTAAAGCTTTAATACTGTGATTGTACACGTAAATGTGACACATCTTGAAAACGGATTACTGACTGATCTGCATTCGAGCGCTGAAAGCCGAGCGAAGCTACTGCTTTTAAAAAATGTTCGACGGTGAACAATTTCAGACTAAGCGATTGAAAACTGAATAGAGAATTCGATGAAAAATTGCACGAAGACCCGTTGATGTCATCATTTTTTCCATACGAGCGAAAAACATCGTGTGTAAAAAAGAGCACATCACTGCACCCGATAACGAGCGCTAACCGAAGACTGCAGAGCAGTAGCTGCCTTAATTTCATTTCAATGCACTAACAAAAAATATTACTACATAAAAATGAATTTCATAAGACTTTGAGAAAGTTATGTCGCGTGTCAAAAGTACATTGGCAATCATTTCTATAAATGATCAAATAAAATGAGATATTGCAATGATTCGAGAATCATAATTTAACGATGGAAATATTCCAACGTTCGTAGAGTATAAAAAAAATCGAAGCTTCTTTCATCGTCTCGATCAAAACAAAGTCTAATCGAGCTAATGAAATGTACCCTGTGAAACGTAGTAATTTTTTTCACGCGTTGAGCGCGCAGCGACACACGACTCCGAACGAGGCAAGAGTCAATATCGAGCGCGTCGCGAGCAAACAAAACGATTAACGTCGCCGCTGACATCATCGTCGCCGTCAGCCCGTACTCGCTAGTATCGCTAACAATAGTTCGTCTCCATGTGTTGATGCACGTCGACGGCGGCGACGATGCGATGCGACGGGCCGAGATCCGTGATCGGTGAGATGCCGAGGTCGCTGGTACCGATCACGGTGCCGGCCGTGGACGTCGACGTGGCCGGCGAGTCGAGGGTGGCGATGGGCGTACGGATCATCGACACGCTGGCCTCGTCCGCGGACAGAATCAGCAGCGGCTCCGAGAAATTCTGCTGCTCCGAGTCCTCGTGAGGCGTCATGGTGCTGTAGCCGTGATCGCTCTCGCAACCGGCTGGTCGTCTGTGCGTACAAAAAAAAAAAAAAAAAAAACAAGAATAAACAAATTGCCAGCGATTAAAAATTAAGCTCGAAAAACGCATAGAATTTTTGAAATACACTCGTCGCACCTGTAATTGGTCGATACTCTATAGGGGGATATGGGCGCGATAACGTCTCGCAGCAGGGCCGAGTCCATGCTGCCCTTGGGCTCGCGATCGAGATCGGCCGGCTCGATGTCGCAGTCGAGATGCGTCATGCGCAGCGTGTCCGGCGAGTTGTGATTGTGCAGGCACTCGTGCTCCAGGCCCGTGGGTATGTTGCGCAGCCTGTAGCAGAAGAGACCGATGCCCAGGATGAGGACGATGCCGAGTATGCCGCCGGCGACCGGGCCCACCGACGGCCACTCACCGGCTAGTATCTCCTCGGTCGATTGCGAGTCTGCCAGAAGAAGAGAAACGAACGAAGCGTCAGTGAAATTTTTCCGTCAATTACGTGTAAGCACGAGCGAAGTATATGACTCACTGTAGGTGCCGTCGCCGTAAGGTATCGGCGAGCCGTAGACGCCGCGGAAGCAGACGGCCGAGTCGCTGCAGTAGGGCCGCTTGAGGCGGCTCTCGCCGTCGGCGTCGATCTCGCACCACTCGCAGCCGGCCACCCCCAGGCAGTCCCTCTGGCTGGCGAAGTCCGAGCAGCTGTAGCCGCGACAGGGCTTGAGCGCGGGCAGCGACGGCGGTATCCAGGGCGAGGCCAGACCCGAGCCCTGCTCCTGGGGCGCCGGGCACGGCTCGAGATCGGCCAGGGCCTCGTCGGCCCGCGCGGACGAGCACTCGCTCGAGTAGAGCGAGCACTCGCACGGGCACTCGCAGTCCGTCTGATCGACCCGATTGCAATTGATGCACGACCGGTCCATCTGGGCGTATGAAAAAAATAAGGTCCAAATGAAATGAGATCGTTGAAATAAGCTGCGATCGTATCGTCGTCTATACTCACCGTGCTGCAGGGACAGAAGGCCTTGAGATAATTGCAGGTGATGTTGACGACGCCGAGGAAGACGTTGGTGCCCGGGACCACGGCCAGCTGATACATGACGCAGTGCTCGCCGTGGACGATGTTGGTCAGCACCTCGTCCAGCGACATGTTGAACTGGTAGTAGCGCTGGGCCGTGGCGTCCATGTGGCTGGCGCAGACCTGCTTGCGCACGAACAGGTCGTGATTCAGGATGTCGTTGGACACGAGCAGCTCCTTCTGGGTCAGGTGCTGCTGCTCGATCTTGCTCGAGGCTTGAAGCAGCGACGGGTGGTACACCAGGTAGCCTGTGAGAAAAGAGAAATAATTTCTACGTCATTACGCGTGTTCGAGTGCTGATCATTTTGAGTTTTTGCGCGGTCGCGCGTAATACGGAATAATCATAATGATATCGTTCGCGATATGTTCTGCAAGCGACTACGCGCCGTCGACTGCTTCTGCAGTGGTGTGCAGACGGCATTCGATAGAGTACACACCAATCGTAACCTCAATTCAATCGTGCCCAAAGTGAGAGACGTTTGTTATTATTTTGCAGAAATCGGCGAATGAAATCAACTTCCAGACAACGTCGATGATCGTTCGAACTATAGTTTGATTGATTCAAGTGACATCGATAAAAGTAAATAATAGCGTTAAAAAACATGGCTAGTTTAATGATGAAATTGATGTCGGCTGCACCGAGTCGAAATTTAGCCAAAAATTTCGTCGCCCCCGTAGTGAGCGACGGACTTCGGTGTTTACAGACGACCGCGGCAAGATGCTCTTACGACGAGGACGGCAAGACCACCGTGACGATACTCAACAAAAATTTCGATTACGGCCTCATGATCGACAACATGAGCGAGGTGAGCGAGAGCGAGGCATCGATATTGCACAAGTTCGAGTCATGGTTCTGTTTCAATTAAAAATTGCATCGATTTTGTTTTTGTTTCGTTTGTTTTTAGCAAGGTTTCGTTCTCAACAATGGCATCAGAACGGTAGGACCGTTGATACTGTTCCCAAAGACCATGCTGAGTTGGAACATAGCCTGCTCCGAGGACATGAACGAGGACTCGTTCTCATTGCTCTTGAACATGCATCCCAAGTTGGATGTCGTTGTTGTGGGTTTGGATGATAATTATCCAGCTAATTCTCCCATTGTGAAGAAAGTCAAAGATATATTTAGAAAACATAAGATCAATGTAGAAGTTTTACCGACTTACAAAGCCTGCTCCACGTATAATTTTCTCAATGCTGAGAATAGATATGCAGCAGCAGCTATGATACCTCCAAAGTTGTTGAAAGTTGAAAATCTATTGTTAAAAGATGGTCAAAAAGGCGAGGATATTCCTATACCTCAAGGTGAGGATGTACCTGAGTTAGAAGAAATTGGTAATCGAAAACAACAACGTTTGGATGGTAAAGAGCACAAAGCATTAAAAGATCCAGCTTTTGAAGATGATTGGAAATTTGAAAGAGAATTAGCAAAACAAGTTTATAATAAGCCAGAGAAAAAAGTAGGTCTCATAAATACTGAAATTGATGAAATTAATGTTGATGATTTGAGAAAAAATAAAAATATACAAGAGTCTTTCAAAATAAGACAGCCTTGGAAAGATGAATCATTCAAAAATGTTTCTAGAGATCCAAAAGGAAAAAAAGAAGATAAAAAATAAATTAAATTTAAACGTAGCTTAAATTTGTATAAAATTGTACAAAATTTTTACTAGTTATTAAAACGAGGCTTAATTTTAAACTTTTAGTAAATAAACACATTTTTTAAAAATAACTCTTAAAAATGAGTTATAATTTGTACTTATATTTTATATCTCTTACCTTTATCATCCATTAAAAAGCACTTGATGTTTGTTACACTGCAAACAGGGAATAATTCCTCCAACATTTTAGAGAGATACCCCAGTGTAAAGTCCATAGCCATTACAGCAAGAACAGGATCAGTACTTGAGTGAAGACCAACTGAACGACCTTCATGCACAACTTGACTCAATGTAATAACATATCCAGCTCCACCAGCATCTAAGTAAGGTGGGCTAAGTATCATGCGATCTGGTTGTTGAATTGCTTTGTAGTACCAACCACGGCGTTTAGGATCTAGGTCTGAATCAAGGACCAAACCTGGATAAACTTCAAGAACACCACTTGTCACAGAAGTAACGTACCTAAAAATATTTTTTTAGTATACTTTTGAATAAGGTAACAGCGTAATAAAATCAATTAATTCTTGAATTAATTTTTCAAATGGTAATGAATTACAAACCTTTGAATTATGTACTTGTTTAGAAGGCTATTATCATGTCTGTCTTTGAAGTATCCCAGAATTTGAGCCAACATAGCTACTTCAGCTTTTACACTTTCCTGCATTCCTGGATTAGTTAGAAGTCTTGTTTCGTCTTTGATATAAGCCATGTAACTTCTAACTGTATCAGCTGGTGTAGTTTGCATTAATTTAGCCTGCTCTGCAGGTGATTTAAAACACCAAGGTGATAAATAAACTACACTAGCTTGAAGAGTAGCCACGCGATTATCATTGTGTGCACATAAACTGTCTCTTCGAATGTTTGAACTCAAAGCCAAATCTAATCGATGGTGCAATAAAAATGAAGGTAAGGGAGGAGGGGTTTTTAAAACTGGCACACGTATAAAATCTTCATTAGAACGAGTTACAACAAGACAAACTATTAAATCAAAATAGTCGAGATGACGCCAATGAATTTGCTTTGTGGTGTTGAGGAGTGTGTGAATTTCAATTACACCTTCAGCTTGTTCTGACATTCTAAAAAATTAAGTTAATATTTATTGTAAAAGATAGATAAAGTGAAATTCATTTCAAAGCATTTTTTCTTACCCAGTACTGACAAGAATATTTTTTTGTAAATTTTCAAGATCATGTATGTAAACTTTAAGAGGCTGTTCAACAATCATTTCAACTCTTGGAAAATCTTTGTGCATCCATAAAAGCCCACGCTTATCAACAAGTAAGGCATGCAGTTGGTGTGGTCCAGCGTCGAAATATGTTATATCTTCAACAAATTCTTGAAGACGTACATCAAATGACAGGAGGGCAGTATTTGTAATCTGCCCTACTGATACCATCATTGACTTGCTGTAAGGTTCAAAATATGGCTCTGATAAGTAATAAGGCTTGACATCATCTTTGTTGCATTTTAAACCAGCAAAAAGTTTAGCTATTTCATAACCAAGAACATGTTGAGTTGGTAACATGATTACTGAACCATTAGAAAATTTATCTTTGTCTTCCAATTTGACTTGTTGGTTTGATCGTATCATGATTGTCTTCAAATAAACTTTCAGATTATCATTTTTTATTGTTTGAACTAAGTCGTTAACACCAGAATAATCAGTAACAGTGTTAGTTAAGTGCACGATAGTTAGTTCACCTGTAATATTTTTCACCATTTCAGCAACATTAATACTGAAGGTTTGATTCACTAATATTGGAATCATTGAATCAATATGATGATCCAGTCTAATTTTATGAATATCAGTAGCTTGGGGTAAACCTTGCTCTGGACAAAGTGCAGAGCCTTGGCCAACAAGGCCTATCACAGTTACTCGATCTGTTTCAGTCAACATGTGAACTATAGTTTTAGCTGTAATCTGAGCCAAACTAACATCTTTATCAGACATAAATGCTGAGCTATGTTCCAGTAATAGCAGTATATTTTTAGCACGATTGCATTGAGCCAGAAGTAATGGACCAATATTGTGAGCTAAACTTGGAGGACCACATATTATACCTGGCTGCGATACCTGAATCAGAAGTTTATTTATAAATAAAGATAATCATTGCTTTGATACTTACGATACGATTATACTTACTGGTAAAACATGCAAATTTTTCCAATCTTGAGTTCTTAAATTCATAGCTAATTCATCTGTTATTTTATTACAAATATCTAAAGGTCTGCTACTTTGATCAGACTTTTTTTCAGTAGAGTAAATACCCTGACCTTGCTTAAGTAATATGGGCTGTATAATGTTATAGCTATCTCGTAATAAATCTGTGTATTTTTTAAGTCTATCATTAAGATTTTTAGCTAAATCATTCAGTCTAGAGCTAAGTGGAGTGATGGTATCTACAAAGTCCATCTTATCTAGCAGTCCTTGGAACTTATTGACTCCAAGTTCATCATTTGCTAAACCTTGTAAACTTTTGGATAAGTGCACAACCATGTCTCTAAGGCAAGCTCCATTTAATGGTTGTACATCGATTTGCTTTCTAAATGATTTACCAAATTGACATTTAGGTGCAATGTTTACTAATTTTTCATCTGCTGCCAAACAAGTAGCAAACAAAGCCAAAAGAAGAACAACGTTCATTTTGAGGAATACCATTGTTGATCCATTCATTTTACTAATATTTTCTGACAACTTATGATTAGCTTGTTAATTATGGCACTGTGAGTTATTTTTAGCAACTTGTTTTATCACATTTTTATAATTTTTGTTTTTCACTCTGTTGAGAGACTTGATTGCAGTTGAAATGCTCCAATGATCAACTGAAAAATAAAAAACAAATAATTAATTATTTTCGTTCTTACGCGATGTATTTGAAGTTATGTAGAAAAAGTAATAAAATCTACATGCGGATGTGTATTCAAATGAAATCAGCTTGTATACGGTTTATGCACGGGCCGATATTGCAAGGAAGCTGTCAATAAGCGCGAACATAACTTTAGTGCTTTAGGAGCGTATGCGAACGCGAATTGACTCCAAATTTGCAGTACGACATGAATCACGAATTTTCGCATGCAATGTAATATTAGGGGCGAAAGCAGGAAGAAGCAAGTGAAAAAAAGGAGCAAGAGAGAGAGAGAGAGAAAGAGAGAAAAAAAAGAGAGTAAGAAAGTGAGAGGCATTCGAGCCCGAATAGAAGCAAAACAGCATCTCACACTGTGGCAAAAGAAAATAAGATGCACAGAGAAACGCGGAGAAGCCGGTTGGCGCATTTATAACACGATTTATTTACCTTTACTTCTCGTTAAAACATGACGATGCCACAATTGAGCCAAAATGATTTCCAAGGATCTTCCTACAGAGCATGATGAATTACAATGCGCGAAATGTTTGAGGAAATGTAGGCACAGGAGGGACACAATGTATATACACAGTTCAGTCTTCGTTTGGAGCTGTACACAATATATATCGTACACTTATCCTCTGTCTCTCTTTCTCTCTGGGCTATGTCGCCTGTGCCCCTATATAGATCTCCTATGTATATACACGCATACTTGGTGCGCACGAAGACGGCGGCTGCTGCTGCTGCACTGCCACCCTCCCCCGCCGCCAATCCCGCAGTCTATGTGTATGTGTCTTTTGAGAATTCGCGGCAGCACATGCTGCTGTCCTTGTCGCCTTCGCGCTAGCTGCCGCACGCGAAATTGCGGAGGGGGTCCCGTTCGCGCGAGTGCTGTCCTTCTGCAGCCAAGTGACACGGGCTTTTATACCTATATTATATTAGACCGGTTGTTATTTCCCAAGTTGTTCCGATCATCGCTCCAGACGTTGATTCTCATTCCTATACCTATGGGGAGAAAACTTAGAAAAATACGTATAAATAGTTCAGGTGGTTTGTACCCCACAGAGTCGAAAAATTTGTTTTATTTATATATTTTTTTCTAAATCGAATATCGAAAAACGGCTCTGTGAGAACATTAATTTGATTGCTCTCAATAGCTGGTAAAAATTTTAGTTCATTCCGCCCCGTTTGCACCCGTTTTCTCGGCTTGAAATTTTCAAACACGTTTTCCGGAAAATCTGGTCGGTGGAATTAACTCAAATTTTTACCAGTTATTCAGAGCCACAAAATGAAGGTTCCCATAGAGCCGTTTTTTGATATTCAACTTAAAAAAAAAGATATAAATTAAACAAATTTTTTGACCCAGTCGATAAACAATGTGGGGTACAGACGTACCCCTTTAGGTTGCATATTCATGAATTCGCACAACGAAACCTCTTTCTGCTCGCGACCTAGGCTCCAAATTAGCTATATCCAGTATAAAAATTCAAATGTGCATGCGCGGGCCTTATAAACTGGAAATCGAATATTTGGAATTCGGAAAATTATGTTACTTCGTCATAACTTTGTCAATTTCCATCCGATCTGCACGAAATTTTGCCTGAATACGAACAACTGCACTAGAAATCTGTAACGAATGCGACCGCGGCTCAAAATTAACTATATCCAGTATAAAAATTGAAAAAACCTTCGATTTCCGCCCAAAAATATTGCGATTTGGCCTAATTCGGTCAATGCGCACGCGTGGAAGGGCCTATGCACAATGTGCAGGCTTTATAAACCGGAAATAATAATTCAACTTTATGTAAGTTATTGTTAATGTAAAACTAAAACCAACGCGGATAAAATTGTGTTAACAACATTTAGACGAGTTGATAACGATATTCAACTCGTTTTTTGTTAAATATGAGTTGAAATGATAACAATAATCGAAATAATTAAAACAATTGAAATTTTTTGTAAACTATCAGAAAACGGCACGATAAAAGTAAAAACAAACGATGCCATTCGTAATATTTTTTGACGGCACCGTAAATTAAAAAAATAATCGTCTCATTCGGTTGAAAAATGACCGAGATACATTTTTTTTTCTTAATTACATTTGAAGTCTCGGGCTCAGACGTCGAGACGCCAGCGAACGAGACGCAACCCCACCACTTGACAGTGCAGAAATTGCGGCTTTAACTTTGTACAATTTTATTATTGTTAAGATTTCGAGATATCAAAATTATTATTATGTCATTGTAAAATATAAGTATTTAAGAATGTAACCACGTTAGTTTGATTCATTAATTTTTGATAACACCGAAGTAATGATTTTTTGAAAAAAAACCTATTTTCGTTAAAAAAGCACTTAAGCAAGTTTATTTTTTTTTAAAATCTGCGTTTCAATGCCAGCTATTGAAAAAAAAGAGAGTTATCTGGTTAACTATTATAATTGACGCTCTGCGTCTATTTGTTTATAACATAAAAAGTACCGAATTTTCATCGCATTGTTTAACGTATGTTTTTTCGATTTTCCGTCTAAAACTTTTTACTACGTATAAGTACAAGTCTTAAACTTTCATTTGCGCTTCGAACGGACTCGCTATTGTTGCTAACAATCGAGATATCGCCTAGGGCCGAGGGAGTGTTTTTATAAACAAATGACTGTTTCTCGAAAACTATAAGTCCGATTTCAACTTTTGAAAGCTAACTAGACTTTAATATGTGCGCGCTACGCGCGCATGGAACTCTTATGAGATGTAATTTAATATATGAAAGATATTATTAACTACAGACAGAGGGCGTATATAGATGACACTAAAATATTTCTTGTACTCACATGAAGTTGGCTCTAAGAGGGTTCAATTCGATCTATAATCGCAATGGCTCTTATATTAATTAGATTAGATTTTTTTTGTCGCAAAAAGACCTACCTTTTGATGTAGTGCAAATTACGATTAAACTGAAATTGTTTATAGTAAATGCAATTGAAAAAATCGCCATTTAGAGGGTTTTTTGCACTTTTCTCGGTAAATAATTAACGTAATTGATCGTGGTCGGGCTCAAATTAAAGGTCTAATTAATAGCTACAACTTTTATTTGAACCATTTTTCGATCCAGTATAAAAATTGAAAAACTTGCTCTGAACATCAAATTGTAACCATGACCTTCGTTATGAGTAACTATATGTTGTCGAAACTCAAAACGTTTTAACTTCGGATCAAAATATCTTTTGATTGTTCCTGGTTACTAGAAAAAAAATATATATCATGATACTTAGCTTTATCCCATCTTCAAGAAATTTCAAGTCTCTTTGTTTGCAGAGCAAGCAAGTCACTTTACAAAAAAGACTCATTTTTTTCAGAAGAAGCTCTTTACAATCAATTGGCAGTGATCTTTTATTTATTTTTAACGATCATGTATTGATCCTTCTGTAAAATCGTATGGGTGCTGACGATGGAGGTCTGTACCTCACATTTTTAACCTACAAAGTCGAAAAATTTGTTTAATTTATATCTTTTTTTCTAAATCGAAAATCGAAAAACGGCTCTATGGGAACCTTCATTTTATTGCTATGAATTGCTGGTAAAAATTTGAGTTAATTCCACCGACCAGATTTCCCGGAAAACGTGTTTGCAAATTTCAAGCCGAGAAAACGGGTGCAAATTTCAAACACGTTTTCCGGGAAATCTGGTCGGTGGAATGAGCTAAAATTTTTACCAGCTACTGAGAGCAACCAAACTAGTGTTCCCATAGAGCCGTTTTTCGATATTAGATTTAGAAAAAAATATATAAATAAAACGAATTTTTCGACTCTGTGGGGTACAGACCACCTTAAATGACAAAATGCATGTTTTTTACGCGGCACATCCAATTTTTTTTTACCATACACATTAATTAATGCCATTGTTACGATTATTTCAATTTGTAGGTGAAATTTTTGGAGATTTCTTGTTACAAAATTAAAAAATAACATGTTTCATAAAATAAATTTTATTTAGTTTCGTAAATGTAAAATTAAAATAGAAAAAATGTTTTTTCATAGTACTTCAAATCCTGCTTTAAGATGATTTGAAAATCACATTTGAAAAAATTCTGAAAATGTCTTTATAAAATAAAACAAGAGTTTGATACGTACTTTAAAATATTAAAATGTTTAAAATCAATGCTTTTCACTCTTCATGACTTTTAGGAACTAAATTGTTCATCAATTGCCCTTTAACAATCATAGAGACCCTGTCGCAAAGAATGTCGGCTTCATCGAAACTGTTGAAAATAAACGAAAGATAAAATCAAATTCGTTTTTCTATTCAAATAAATAATTTTAAACCTCAACGTACTTGTCAGTAGCTATCAAAATTGTACATCTAGCTGCTTTTAACGATTTGATGACGGTCCAGATAATCCGTTTGCTGTATGCGTTGCATCCAGCTGTAGGTTGATCGAGTATCAACAGTTCCGGTCCACCCATTACGGTTAATGCCATCATTGTGCGTTTTCTCACGTTTGTGGTTAAAACATTTCCTTTGAATTTCAAATATTTTTTGATTTCTGAAAAGAGAAATATTACTCTCGGATCTTGAAAATTATCATACTTTAAAATTTTGGCGAGAATATTTACGGAATACATCGCTCCAGTAATCTGTTTCAGCTACTCCTAATTTCTCAGGAAGGTTTCTGAGTCTCGAAAAAATATGGAAATGTTCTGCAATTGTTAGCTCGTCGTATAAAAAGTTTTCTTGTGGACAGTATGCCATTTTTTCCAGTATCTAAAAATGTTTATTTGTCAATATTTTATTGAAGAATGCGGTTTCTGAAAAAGATCGAATTTTATTCTCACTTCATCTTGTTTGAATCTGAAATTTTTTCCCTTAATGAAAATAGATCCATCATCGGGGGTTTGAACTCCAACTATCATTTCCAGTAAGGTAGATTTTCCAGCTTTATATGGACTCACAATTCCCAAACATTCGCCTTCGTGAACTCTAAAACTAACGTCGTAAACAAGCTGTTTCGTGAATGAACGTTTGCACAGCTCGTGGACAACGATTACTTCATCATCGAGACATGGAACATTACCCGTTCGTTTTGGTGGCTGGTTTTCTGCGGAAAAATTTTTATTGTAAGTAATTAAATGTGGTAGCTCAGTACTTGTAAAATCTTGAAACTCACCATTCTGCAAATATTGATTGGCGAAAGTATAGGTTTCACCCTTTAATTCCGCAACTTTTTGAGAAATGATTTGTTTCTCCTTAACCATTGATTCACTTGGGTTTTCAAAATTGCGCAAAATCGTTTTCGAACGAAGATGACTTAAAAACTGATGGTAATATTTCCTTGGACTCTCCGCAACGTAGAGTATGAAGAAAATAAAGAATGGCAAAATGATACTGTAAACAAAGGGTACCACCAGTGGTATATCTCTTCCGTAGAATTCCATATACCTCATTGGATATTTACATACTCCATCGTAACAGTGCATACCTGCGCAAAAGAAAAATAGTCGATATATTTAGCAAAAGTTACTGAACAAAAAACAAATTTTCAGATCAACTCACGGCAACACGCGTCGTATCTATATTCCGTGCACTTTGGATCTTGATATTCGTTCGGCGTAAATTTACACTTGTTATTTGTAAGATTAGTTTGACAAATGCTCACAATACTCATGAAAAGGGCATGGTACGGTGAGAAGTAAGCAACCAGATTCAACCAATTAACGGCATGCCTGTCAACTACGGCGATTAAAATAAAATCTGCCATGCCTACGAAACAAAGTTGATATTTTGAAATTTAATATTTGGCTGATGATTATAAAGATAATTTAAGAATTTTATCTGGATAAACGCACTCGTAACGATGATGACTCCAATCATCATCCTTGCAACGAATGTCTTACTCATTCTTATGCAACTGAAGATGTAACTGATACCCAATCCACTCATTAGGAAGTACACGCAGCTCATGGATATCAAAGCTAAAATCAGACAGGCCGGCTCAACTTATTGCAATCTGTAGCAAAGAAAATCAAAAGTGTAATGTAGACTTACTCATTGATTCTGGAGTATGGAAATGCGCTCCTTTGTAAACATCCAGATAAAATATTGTACTCAACACAACGGCTATACAAGCCAGGCCTAACACCAAGTCATAAAATGGCCAATAGCCCCAATACACTATCTTAGGCATACCAGCCATAATCTGCAAGTGCTTCATCTTTTTCACGTTCTCTTCCAGTGGCAAGTACAAAAAGTTTCGCACCAGTAATACGAGCCAGGTAAGAAAAGAGAGGGCCCAACTGACGGCCACCCATTGATTGTAATCTCTGAGGGTGAAGAGCGAGTCCATGCTGGGTATACGTTGCAGGTGCACGCGAATGTCGTGCTCGAAATCGGTCATGTACTTGAGCAAGGCGTTGTTGGCGAGATTCAACGAGATCGGCAAGCTGTACACGGCTTTCGATGTGAATATGGCACTCCCAACGATGGTGCCATTCGCCGTCTCGCTGAACTCGGCGGCTGCCACCAAGCGCGAGCCAAATGTCGCTAACTGGTCCTTTGCCCTCTGATAGAGCGCTAAAGTTAACGATGGATTTATTACATTTACGTGTTATTATCAAAAAGGTTGTTGAATAAAATAATGGCGTTACCGTTCGTAAGATTGGCTCCAGCTAGTTTTACCGATTTCCAATGGTTGAACGAACCGTAATTATTTTCTATGCTTTCATTAAAAGCGGAAACGTAGGTTTCTGCATTTTGATACATATTCGGAGTTATTTTAATGGTCTCGGGTACGTTGATAATTGGCATATTTAGAATTGAAATATGTTCCGCCACGCCGAGCAATAGCAATCCCTGTTGAAAAAAGATGAATAAAAATATAAAAATGCTTGAAAAGAGGTAAAGCTCGATTTTTCACTTACGAATATTGTCGACATCAAAAATATTGATTTACGTCTGCGGAGGTATCTGTTTAAGACGTAACGACGCGTATCCCTCAGCTTTTTTAATTTCTTCATGGGATCGTCAGCGTCGAGTAATTTATTGTAGTTGACGAACGGCGACGCAAGCTCCTGAACTTCAATAGCTTCGTGTACGCTAAAAAAGAGAACTCGATTATTTTTTTCCTTCAAAGTTTACAAAATCAACATTCGAGATTACTCACTCCGAGAAAAGGTCTGCGAGTGTAGGTTCACCCAGAACTTTTTTGGGTTGTTTATTGAGATTTCTCAATTCGTCGGAGCCCTCGTCCGTTTCGTCGCTGTCCTTCCACTTGCGAGCCGCGTAACCGAAACACGCTTCAGGCGCATAACGTTCTTTCAAGTATTTTGGTGTTCCGTAGCACTCGAGTTTTCCGGTGGTCAAGACGGCGATTCGATCGCTTATGACTTCCGCTTCCGACATACTGCCGGTGCTAACAATAATGGCTTTCTTATAGTTTCTAAGTTTCTATAAAAAGTGAGAATGATTTTTTAAAATTTTTTGTTTAAAATACTTTCTATATTATTTTCCTACCTGGAGAGCATCCCAAATAATGCATATGTCATCTTTATCTAAACCTTTGGTTGGATTACTTAATAGAACGACCTGAACGATATTAAACATTAATATCAAAAAAACCATTCAATTATTTAAAATTTAAAATGTAAATATATTTTCAACTCCTTACATTTGTGTCTCCGACCATAGTCATAGCAAGGCTTAAACGTCTCTGCTGTCCTTTTTTAAGATTTTTCGCTTTAACCCAGTCAAATGCGTGTGGTAATTTGAAAGTCTGAGCAATATCATCGATATCTTGTTCAACTTCATAACTACTTTTTCCTTCATTTCTGAGCTGAGATACAATTTTTTTATGAATCAAAACGAAAAGTATTAAAAAACAATTAGTTTATAAATACCTGTGCCATGAATCTTAAATTTTCATGAGCTGTGAGATTTGATATGAAGCAATCCGTCCCCGTGAAAATTCCTACTTTACGTTTAGGCATATTTATGGCCATTTTACTTAATTTTGGTTCTACAAATGGATGTCATTAATAGAGGCACACTAAAAAATAAAAATTTAATATCATTATCAATATTACCTGATAAAGCTCTCAATAAAGTGTGATTGCTCTGGCCATTGCATTCTATAACGCTTGTTATTTCTCCTTCATAAAACTCAATGCTGACATTTCTCAAGCTTGCATCCTACAAAATAGAGATTTTACAGTTTTGATATGATATGCTCTTCTTTTATTTCAACTTACATTATTGAAAACATTGACATTCTTCAATTCTATAACTGGGTTACTTTTAGGTGAGGTTTCTTCAACATTAGGATATATTAAACTTGAATCGCTCTTTATTTTGACTTTCTGAAAAATAAATTTTTAACTATATACTTTGAAAAGCAATGTCTGATATTTTGTAAAAAAAGTATTACCAATTGTCTGGTTATTGATGGTTTTGCCCAAAGTAATGTCGCAATCACAAAGTACGAAACAACAAAAATTGAAAGAAGCATGGCAAAGCCCATAGCTAATTGTGGATTTTGTAAAAAGGAATTATTTAGTACATCTCTCCACAGCAATCCCTCTCTATTCATTTCCAGGTACTCAGCCACTCTTAGTATTTTAAAATACCAGGCACTTGGAAAGTATATTCCCAGAAGAACAAGTGTCTCAAAGCAGATGTTTTGTATGGGCATGGCAGAGAGCAACAAGGTGCCCACAAAGTAAGCGAGCCAAGTTGAAATAATCAATAAAGCTGTTTTGATGAAAAATAATTCAATATCATTAAATTTTGAACTTTGCTTGAATAAAATATAATTTTTTAATACTCACTATTTCTCATTATTAAAAATATATTGATCAGCAGTACAGTGTAATGGGCAGCAAAAAGTGTAAGTAACACAATCAGTAAAGATGTGTCACTCTGCACAAAGAATGATCCAGTATAGTCAAACATATTGCAAGTTAGCAAAGCTCCAATCATGATGATGAAGGACAGGTAAACAATTGAATGTATGTATGCAATAAAATAGTACATTGCTCTGGACACGCCATTTGAGTCGAGTAAGATCTGAGAATAAAGGTTCATATCAAGTTAACATTTCAATACTTAATTTCCTCAATGTCATAATTAAAATACTTACATCGATGCCATGCTTATGATCTAAAATTACATAGTAGACTTCAAAAGCAATTGGGACCAACAAGGAAGCCAAAATCAATGCAGTAGCTATTGGCAACTTGGTCACATATCTGTAATTTAAAATTTATTCAATAAAAAATGTTAACAACAGACGACTTTGTCAACACTTACGATGTGTAAACGTAATCTACTTTAGAAAAATCCCTCTCGTTCGGTAGATTCAATCTCTTCAGCGCGATCTGTTAGAAAAAAAACAATATCCAAAAGTAAGTTTATACACCAATCGCTGAGCCATTGTATCTTCTGTACATTCGATTACTTACATCGTACTTCGGGCGAGCCGGATTGTTCTCCGTCTTCAGTTTGATGAAAGACGCGTCGAGACAGGCCTGGGTCGCGAGTATCCGATTGGTCTCGATCAGGTACTCGTCGCCGACCGGCTCCCACCACTCGATCTGCTCGTAAAACAGGCGGTCGTAGTTCAGATATCTCGACTGTATCTTGTAGTGTAGGGTCTTGCTGGCCTCGCTGAAATTGGCGGCGAAGATCACGCCCGCGTAGTTGGTGCGCGGCTTCGAGTAGCGCGAGTCCGACTCCTTCACCTCGATCGCGCGATACGCCTTGAGCAGCTCCTTCTCGTTGGGAAAGCCCTCGATCCTGATGCTGAATCTCGTGCCATCTGCGAGCATAACAGAGTGACGTTTATCCGTCATAATAGGAAAACTTAGATCCTCCTCGTCTTCGTCGCACTCACAGTAATTGTCCCAGGCGTCGCGATCGTTCCTCGGCGTCAGCGGAAAGCAGTCGTTGCGAAAGGTCTGCATGAGCCTGTCGGTGAAGTCGTTCTTGGGTGCGTAATACACGGCGTGCTCACCCTCGAACTTCATCGGCCTCAGCGCTGTGATGTTCAGATAGCTGTCGCGCAGCTCGAACCGATCCCGCGGCAGAGGCAGGTGGTGGCTGTGCATCGTGTGCAGGATCAGCCACACGACCCATGGCACGAAGCAGGCATAAAAGTGTCGCCTGCAGCTGTAGAAGCGCACCCTCCATTGGGTGGCCACTATCAGCTTGAGCTTGTGGCAAAATTCCCCGATCGACATTGCTTCGATCGAGTCTTTTTCTATGCGGATTCGATGCGGCGATTTTTTTCGACTGCTGTGCTTTTCAATACCTGTGCAGATTAGTAATCAAACAATTTTGTATAGAATACTCGATAGTTCTTACATCGAAACAATCGTAATCTATCGTTGAAGATAACGAGTCAAAGACGAACATTTTATCGTCCCGTAAAAAAATGTCATATTTGTCATTTAAAAAGCCGGGAATATTCTCGTATAGGCATATAGTGTAATAGCAACGCGTAAAATGTGAATTATCTCATTTGCGGTCGGCGTATAAGTTCGACATAATAAGACCTTGTAAAAGCCATTGACTCATTAGTGTTCCTCGAAAAATAAACGAACTTCGCAACGCGTGCTTGGTGTGTGTTCCGATACTTATTTAGATCATAGATGAGTGGCGTGGTAACGTAAAAATTTGTTTAACCAAGGGATGTGCACCAAAGCTGTCGTAATTTGAAAAAAAAAATATAAAAAAAAAGAGAAAGAGAGAAAAAAATTCACCGTAAAATGCGTAATTAGAGCTCCGTTGGACGTATTATTATTGTGTGTTCAGCAGGAAATTCGCACATCGCCGCCCACGCATCACGTGACTCTTTGTTTATCTATAGGTAGAAGTAGCAGCAGCAAATCCGAAACTCGTCGCAACACGTTTGCCATCGTAAATGAAAATACGCAATTTTGCAGTGATAATGTATGCGTCATTAGGCCGAACGACATTTATCAATCCGAGTTCGAATTACGAGTGGTTATATCCGAAATTTTTTTGTTTGCGAAATTTTCTATCGAAATTATCGAACTGTCAATTACAATCGTTTCGGACTTACCATGCACTGCACCGCCTCCACATCAAAACAATGGCGCGCACACTGCACGACAGCAAGGACACAATTACCGCGTGTAAACACTGGCACTGCACTTGACTATTTTCTTGTCTTTTTTTTCGTATTTCATGCACTCATCACGATGTATCACCAATATATAAAACTGCTGCCGCACGGCAGGCTACGTTTTTATAAACGCTGCGTATTAATGTAATATGGGCTACGCCGCTATCTCCCGAAACTTACAGACTGATTCACCGTTGCTCGTTTAATATTCGCAGAGCGAGTATTACAGCCATAGAGCTCCGGCTCGCTACTGCCGAGGCCCGGTGTTTTTTGGGAAATCCATTTTTGCGAATTTAACCGCGTATAGTATGTACACTTTACACACTCGAATCCGTCTACATGTATGTGTATGCGTATGTACGTGACAGCGAACTGCCGCCGACACAAACGCGGCATGCTGCTTGCTGCTATAATATGATGATGATATTATACAGCTGTTCTATAGGTAAGAGTGTGTACGTAGTATGCGTGTGTGCCAGTGTGTGTAAGTATATACCGAGGTAGCGGCCGGCGGCCCGGCGGCCGGCGCAGCAGCGGTGTGCTGCTTTCCCCAAACGCGTCAGTGGGATAAACATACGTCAGGCGTCGTGGGAAGGGGGGAAAACATTCGTACAATGCAATAGTTGGCCCGTGTATATTTTTACATAGATGTGGTAGTGGGGTTAAACCCAACACTTTGTGTTGCGCGTGCAGCAGCTTCTGGACCTATAGGCAAATATTGCGTCTTACAAGTTACACAGGAGCGGGTCGAAGCTCAATTTTATTTGGGGAAGTCGAAAAAGGAAAAAATACTTTGTAGGTACATCGAAAATTCTACAAAGAAAGAAGGATCAGGCACGTGTAACGTGAAAATCATTGATTGAACGTACACAAGTTTGAAGTGTCATTTATGCGTATGTTTATCGAGAAATAAAATCATGCCAAGTGCACATAAAATAACAATGAAGTTGCTACTTAATGGACAAAAAATCATGAAATAAAGAATACAAACTCATTTCATTATAAAGATAATCCAAAAAAGTTTAAAAAAATCTATTTTAGCACTTCCGTTGACTTTTAAGTTTTGGCGTGTATCCTCCCGAAATAACAGTGAATGATGCCTTATCAACTATTTTTCGAGAGTTTATTTTTCTAGGTACAGGGTTAACATCGATTCTGTCCGATGGAACGCCGGAATTTCCTGTGCGTAAACACGTTCCGTCACTTTTACTGCCGATAACACGACATGCACGGACCGGAGCAATCGATGACTTTTAATAATTGTAGATATATTTGAAAAATAAAAAAAAATTCTCAGAAGTCTAAGAAAGTATCTAAAATATTTTACAGATATTTAAAATCTTTTTACGGAGGGCAAACAAATACTTATAATATACAGTGATTAGGTTGCAATTGTTTTTTTAAATATCCCTTCAATCTCTATATTTTTGCATAGTAGGTAAAACATGTAGTTTTAAGCTTTAATGAAAATAGTATCTATTCAAATAAAAAAAAAATTTGTAAAACATATTTACAGTAAATTCATCACGTGATGTCTATCATTCCACTAATATGTACTACTTGTTGCTCGTGAATAAAAACTAGGTCTGCTAAATACATGAGCACGCCAGTAAGTTAATCTTTTCAAAAAGATTATATTTACAGGTACGATGGAACTTTGGTTGCTTCTCCTTTGCTTTAAAATTATAGACTCTTTCGAAATGCCTTTTTTATCATCGAATATGAATGATAAAATGTTTGATAATGAAAAGAATAATTCAGAAAAGAATAGTTGGAATCCTAAAAGTGAATTTTCGACAAGAATGGTACATGACATTTGTGAGTTACGTAAAAACTTACTGTAACTTAATCATTTTTCAGAAATTTATTCTTGATGAATGTTTTCTCAATCCATACGAAGGCGAAAAATATATAATGTTGTTTGGAAACTGGAGTATCAGTGAAATATCATTTTTAAGCGACAGCTATTCTTCGTGGTTTATTTTTGATATGGATGGATTTGATAATTTATTACATTCTTCTCGTTATCAACGTTTGATAAATGTAATGAAAATAAATGCGACTATTTTGGAAAGAAAAACTTTACCAGCGCGTATAGTAATCATTGAAATGGAATCAGATTCTAATTTATCAGCTTTTTTCCGAGCTTTTCGAAATTCCATTTTTTGGGACAGTCAGGCATCTTTTTTAGTTGTATCAAAAAAATCAGATCCTACTTGTTATTTGGCATCTTCAGTATTGAATTTGGCATGGAATTTTAATATCATTAAAATTTTTTATTTATGTGTGACTTTAAATCACCGTTATGTGGTTTACACCATTAATCCATTTTCCTCGATTGCGACATCGTTCTGGAAAATGGAAGCGAATTCAAACATAAATACTGAAAATGTAACGTTATTTTCATGCGACATTACTGATTTATCGTTGATTGAAAGTTAGTTATTGATTAATTTTGCAATATTTTTCCTCTGTCATAATTATTTACAATAAATTGTTTTTATTTATTCCATAGATAGTAAGCTTCGGGGTAAGTGCTACTTTGACAATTTGGTCGATATATCTAATTATACAATGTTTTTGGGAGCTGAAGTAACGGATACGTCAATATTTTCAACAAGATCGAATGTAAAATTGGAGGAATTCTCAAATATTATATCTTCGAAAGTGTTGAAAAAATTCGTACAATACATAAAAGCAAGTTACGTTGTGAAAATTTACAAAAATGTCCCCCAATTAGATTACGGTGGAAAACCACAAGGTGCCCTTCAACACCTTATAAACGGAGAAATTGAAATTATCATTAGAATGACCCTCTTAACTGATTATTGGAAAATGCAATCAGTCTTTGTGTCAAGTACTTACGTAAACGCAGTCTCTCAGAAAAAAAAACCAAGTGTCTTCAAAAAGTTCATCACTGCAGTCGATCCGAACATTCTTATCAACATAGTTGTACCTTTTACAGCTTTTTTGCTTTTATCCAAATTCGTTTTGAAATTTTCCTGGAGCGTTTCCTTTTTCGAGTATGTTCGAATATTTACATTCTCCATGGACAAAAGAGTTTCTGACCGTGCCCATTATTCATCGGAAAAAATACTCATGTGTACTGTGATTCTGTTAATATCTTACTCGAGTGCCTATTTTGTCGGTTTATTCAGCGCTGTTAATACTTATGACAATTTTGAGTCGTCAATCGAGACTATTGACGATTTAATCAACGACACAGAAGTAAAGATTTACGCTTTTTCTTCTATCATACCTCAAATGGTTTCAATTACTAAACGAAATATTATACTATATACTGATTTTAAAACGTGCGTGGAAGATATGTTGCAGCATGATAATGTGATTTGTATCGGCGTGCCAGTGTTTTTCAATTCACTTGGCATCCGCGAGACAGAGTTGATCCATATCTCTAAGCCACTGTTCAATATGCGATTCATTGTTTATACAATGAGCCCAGATTGGGTCTTGCAATCGAAATTTAATGATTTTTTGTTTAGATTTTATGAGGCTGGATTAACAGAGAAAAATTTTGAGTCATCTACGATTTTTTGGGTTACAAGCGAGAAAAGAAAATTGTCAATGAAAATATCTGAAATGAATTTAGTATTTTACGTTATTTTCGGAGGTCACGCATTAGCAATAGTGGTATTAATTTTGGAATCAATATACAGCACAAGTAGAAAACATTCTTAATATCTCATAAAATGTCCTAAAGTAATATGTTATTGCTAAATTAAGTTTTTTTTGACTTATCTTGTGTTTATTCTAAATTATGTTAGAAAAAAATCTAGTTTTAAAGTTAATAATAAATGTTAAATATTGCTGTGGAAATTCAAGCTTGTTAAACATATTTACTATACATTGATCATATGATGTCAATCATTCCACCGGCTATGTACTGCTCATTGCACGGGGCAACAGAACTAGGTCTAAAAAAACATGAGCTAAGCCCTGCAGTTTCAATTTTCAAAAGGAATCTATTTACAGGTACAATGAAACTTTGGATCTTTTTTCTCTACTTTAGAACAATATATATGTTCAAAATACCTTTTCCATCATCGAATATCAACGAAAAAATGTTTCTACATGTCAAGAATAATTCAAATTTTAAAAATGAATTTTCGACAAGAATGGTACGAAATTCGTGAGCGATATAAAAACTTACTGTAACTAAATTATTTTTCAGAAATTTATTCTTGATAAATGTTTTCTCAGTCCACATAAAACCGAAAAATATATCATGATGTTTGGCAACTGGAAAAGCAGTGAAATATCGTTTTTAAGGAACAGTTATTCTTCATTATTTATTTTTGATATGAATGGATTCAGTAATATTTTAAATAATTCTCGTTATCAACGTTTAACAAATGTTGTTAAAATCAGTGAAACTGTTTTGGAAAGAAAAACTCACCCCGCGCGCATGGTCATTGTTAAAGAGACGTCAAATTTTAATTTTTTTGAATTTCTCACGGCATTTCGAAACTCTATTTTTTGGGACAATCAGGCATCTTATTTAGTTATATCAAAAAATCCCAAATCCTTATGTTACTCGACATCTTCAGTATTGAACTTAGCTTGGAGTTTCAATATCATTAATATCTTTTATTTATGTGTGAGTCCCAGATATCGTTACATGCTTTACACTTTTAATCCATTTTCTTCAATCGCAAATTCGTTTTGGAAAATCGAAGTTGACTCGAAGAGAAGCACAACAAATATAACGTTATTTTCATACGACATCACGACATTGCCATCGACGGAGAGTTAGTAATTGAACAAAATTTTGCTTTTTATTTCATTACATATTATATTTAATTGGAATTAATTATTTTTGTTTATTCGATAGATAGTAAGCTTTGGAGCCAATGCTATTTTAACAAGTTTATCGATTTATCTAATTACATGATGTTATTGGGAACTGAAGTTACGGATAAGTCAATGTTTTCATCGGGATCAGACATAAAGCTGGAAAAAATTCAAATTAATTCTGCTCAAGTGTTGAACAAATTCATACTATATATTAGAGCAAGTTACAATATGAAAATGTACACAGCAGTTCCTCCTTTAGATAGCGAAGGGAAACCACAAGGTTTACTTCAAGATCTTATTGAAGGCCATATTGAGATTGCTACTCGTTCAAATATCATCGACGATCGTTGGAAAATGCAATCATACTTTTTTAATAGTATTCACGTGCACGCAATATCTCGCAAATTCAAAGTCGGCATTTTGAGAAAAGTTATATCTGCGGCCGATCTGGACATTTTTGTCAACATTTGTGCATCTTTTATAATGTTCTTTCTCATATCGAAATTCATTTTGAAACTATCATGGAGCGTATCTTTTTTCGAGTACATACGCATATTCACGTCTGCCATGGACAAGCGAGCTTTTGAACGGGCTCACTATTCATCCGAGAGGATACTCATGTGTACTGCGATCTTATTGATATCTTACTCGAGTGCTTATTTCGTCAGTTTATTCAGAGCTGTCAATACCTCTGCCGATTTCGTGTCGGCCATCGACACTATGGACGATTTCATCAATGACATGAAATTGACGATTCACATTTATGCTCCATTAGTGCCTCAAATGACGGCAATAACTGAACGAAATATGACACAGTTCGTCGATCTCAACGCTTGCTTAGCAACGATGCTGCAAGAGCATAATGTGATATGCATTGTTGGAACATTAGTTATTAATTTTTATGGCATTCGCGAGTCAGAGTTGATTCACATCTCTAAGCCACTGATCAATATGCGCACTGTTACCTTTTTGACACGTCCGGATTGGGTCTTGCTACCAAAGTTTAACGATTTTTTATTGAAACTTTATGAGGGTGGATTAACGGAAAAAAATTATCAATCACTTAAAATTTATTGGGAAAACGATCATAGAGGATTGAAAATGAAAATATCAGAAATGTATTTAGTTTTTTTAGTTGTACTTGGCGGACACGTAGTGGCAATTTTCATTTTTGCTTTGGAAACTATTAAGAGAACCAATAAAAAAATACAGGATAAACCTTTTAGTGTTTGTACGCTTGTACGCTACGGACAGCAAACATATAGCTCTCCAGAAAATTGTTATCGATATCGTTGAATAGAAAACTTTCTTACTTTTCTTATACACGAAAAAGAGAAATTAAATGGAATTACAATTGAATGGAGATTTAATAAAAAAACTCAAAAAATTTTATGTACTAACACTGACGATTTTTATCGACATTTCGATTTAATACTCATTTTGACAAATAGAATTTTTAATTACTTAAAATCATCAGCATATAAAACACTTCATACATACTTTGGTTTCATGAAACATGATTTTTATTTGCAGAGTCCAAAATCGGACATATTTGTTCCAGATCAAAATTTACATGAACGTCTACAGCTACCTTCTTTATTTACAATACTCTGTACGCTTCAATTATTATCTATTTATTCTAAAAATCGAATGCTAAAAACAAAACTAATTTTAAAATTGTTTGCATGTGATGTATCGATCAACAATTTGACACACTTACGAAAGATTCATAATATAAAATGAGAAAAAACAAAATTCTAAAAGAAGTCAGTGTATTTTTTTGGGTAATATTATATCAAAAAATAATATTGAAATATTATCAAATCAATTTCAGCATTTTAAAATTTTTTTTAAAACTATATACACTGGGCAACAAAATTATCGCAACAAAAAATTTCATCGAAATTTTGTCAATTTTCAAATGCTTCTATCTTCGGCTATATTTATCGTAATGACACGATTTTTTGTTAGATTTCTTGGAAATTTTGTCCTCTTTAAATCCATATATACTATAATTAGGTTCGAGTCAATATCGAGTTACCAGTAGTATTTGAGCGCAACACTAAAAATTACTGAAAAAAATTGATTGTTTGAACGTGTACCAGTACCACAGTGATTTTTTTATCGAAATCTAACATACACCATCGCAAAGTGCTCTTTTTAATGAGTAATTTAAAAAAAAAGACCTCTCTACGATTTTTTTAACGCCTTGTAGGTCGTTTTGAAGGTACCATTTAAAGTACGTAAAATCACTAGTTTAGCTCAAATCAACACGATTTTCTGACCAACGACTCTATCGGTAGTAAGTGCCCATGATTCGAATTTACGGAAGCGATCACGAGCGAGCACATGCAATAAATTCGAAGCAACTTCATCCTCTAGCAACCAACGGATACACCAACTTAGAAAGAGGAAAAAAACAATAAAAATGAAGTGCAACTGCGAGAATAATAATAGAATCGATTTATGTAATTTAATTAAATCAAATGCGTTAAGCGAAATTGCCCCACGACTGATTTCGTGTAAGATCAGTGCACGTCTGAACTTGGTACAATAAAGGTAATTTTCCCTTATTATGATTCTGAAGGCTATGGCAAATATTTTTACTCTCGATGCATTTATTCTGGTAACTTGAACTTGAATGTTGTAGTAATCTTAGCTCAGTCGTAATTCTTTTGTAGATACATGAGTTACAACTTATTTATACTATCGAACCACAATATTATAAAAAATATATAATTTTTTGACTATGGCAAAATAAAGAAAAATATATTTTTCTAAATTTTAACAACATATTTGTGTTATTTTCATAATTTTAAGCAACAAGTGTTTTTTATAAAATTTTCGTAAAATAATTATTTACCGAGATACGGAGACTCAAAAAGTAAAAAATGCACAGTTTTGCAATTTTCAAACGCTCGAAACTTTTAAAATATCGTTCGATAAATAACTATTTGAAATTTTCAGTGCGTGACGATTTACTAACAGCCCATAGGCTTATTATAACTAAGATCTATTTTTCTTTCTCTTAGAAAGAAAAACAGGTAGCCATCATGAAAAAAATTTCTTCGCTAACGCGAGTTTGTTTCGAATTTCCTCAAAGTTAACGAATTCTCTTATATATGAAAGAATAATATGTCAATTATGATTATAAAATGTGAAAAATAAAATAATTCGAAGTGAAATATGAGCTTCCTTATATTTGTTAAATTTTTCTCAGAGATCTTCAGTTTTTTTTTCTCAATTCTATTTAATTTGAATCTATCAATTGAATTTTTTGTGTTTCAATTTCATTTTGATAAAGGAACTAAACTGCAAAGATAGATTTTGAAAATAATAGTTGAATGTTATTTTAGCTATTTAAAATATTTTTGAAGTAAATTTTTCCACTGAACAAGGATGTAAAAATGTAATGACAATTCATATAAATGACACGAATAGAATAAATGAAAAATGACGAATTAAAAAAGTAACTGCAACATTCTCGACGCATACTTCTCATAACTTTTTCATCAATCTGTGCGACTATAAATACGAATATTTCATTCAACGCGATCGACGCGACGAAGAAAATTTTTACGATGCACGCGTCGTTTACGAGCAATGATAAAAGCTCTCCTTGAGCTTGCAAGTTCCTCGAGCGCGCGCTGATTCGAGGCCCTTTCATGCGCGCATCATCGTCGTCTATTCGCGAACGTCTTCCTTTATCTTTCGATTTATTTTCCGCGTCCTCTTTTACGATATAGTTCAGTCGTATCAAGTTCGCGCGCGGCCTATCGAGCTTGTACGTGGCACGACATTGGCGCGCAGGTGTTCGAGGCGTGCGCGCGTGGCTCTTCGTAAAAGAAAAAAACATGTATCGAATCGGCTCGAAACTCTTTTGCTTCGTTTGCCTCATCCTGGCGAGTATCTGTAAGTACATGCAACGATTTCACGTTCTCCACTCGATGAATAAAATTTTTTGTACTTTCGTAGTCTCGTCGAGCAGTCAAGAGGATGCCCCGAAATTCCAGTTGTACTTTCAATCGCAGCACAACGACGGTATCTACGTGATCGACGACGTCGACGAGGCCACGCCCCAGATCCGGCCCGTCAGCCACACCGTCGTACCGACGGAAAAGTGTCACGGCAATCAGAGCCAGGGTCGCGCCAACATCATCGACTTCGATCTCGATCCGGCCAACGATCGTCTCGTCTGGCTCTCCTGGAACGAGCGACTCTACAGCTCGAGTATGCAGCTGCGGCTTGCCGACGATCAACAGCAGGCCGAGGAGGAGACGGACGAGCTTCTGTTCTGGTACGATTACTACGACTACGTGCAGTTCAGCTCGAGGCGCATCGCCGTCGACCAGCTGAACGGCATGATCTATCTGATCGATCGCTTCGTCAATCCGACGGTCGAGGTGGTCGACACGTCGGGCAAGTATCGCGCCGTCATCCTGAGTCTGGGCAGTCACGGCAAGATCAAGGACAGCGTGTTCGAGGGCAAGATGCCGATGGAGATGAACTTCGCCGAGTACCAGGGCGTGCTGTTTCACCAGGAGTACCCGATGAACATCGCCCTGGATCCCGAGCAGGGCGTCATGTTCATCAGGACGAACCTCAGCTGCGAGAGCAAAGTACTAATTACGATCGCGATAAATACGAGCGTATATACTTTTTTTATTTATACCATATCCGTGTTTATAAATCGATATAGATCTATCGAGCCGACATGGACGGAACGTCTTTGAAAGAAATAATTTCGTCGACCGGTAAAATATCCGCCGAGTGCACTCAGCTGGAGCTGGACCGGGCGAACAAGAGGATCTACTGGAACGACTGCGAGGGGGGCAAGATCGAGAGCTCGGATTATTCCGGCGAGGGACGAGTCACCGTCGTCGCCAATGTACTCGGCGATCTGGCTGGCTTGTCGATTTACGACGATCGATTATTTTTCAGCGGTTAGATTATACGATTTTATATTAAATCACCAAGTACATATCATAAAACCGCGCTTGATAACTTTTTTCCTCTTTTTCTCTCTCTCTCTCTCTCTCTCTGAAGACTTCTGTGGTGTCGTGCGCGCGTGCCAACTCGTCGACAAGGTTTGCCCGGAGGATAAAATTCGCGAACTGGCGATCCCGACCGAGTCCGAGATCGCTCCTGAAAAAATCAGAGTAGCCGCCGTCGCGAGATCGAACCGCAGCGTGAGCAACCCCTGCCAATCCAACGAATGCGATCATCTGTGCCTGCTCAAGTCCGACGGCGGCCACTCGTGCGCCTGCAAGCTCGGCCACCTGCTTGCCACGGACGGGCACACGTGCCAGCCGATCCTCGCGTCGCTCGTCTACCTGGCCAACAATTTCATCCGGTCGAGCGCCCTGGAGCCGCGCCAGGAGTCGCGACAGAGGCAGCACCAGGACTACCCGTCGCAATTCGTCACCGGCATACTGGAGGGCGCGAGGCCGGCCTCGATCGACTATCATCCCCAGGCGGAGATGATACTCTATCAGGAGTGCTGCATCGGCTCGATGCCCATCGATCTCGACGCCAATCTCAGGGGCTCGTGGTACACCGCCAGAGGCATGCACGACTGCTTCCTGCAGATGGTCTACGATTCCAAGGCGCACAAGACGTACTTGACCAAAATGAACGGTATGTACACGATGATGCTGCATGGATTTTGTTTTTTTCTTCTCAACACGCGTATATTACATATTAAAATAATCGCCACACCTTCTAAGTCACTTTCGTAAAAATAAAACGACAATAAAGGCAGTGAGAATGTCAATTTATTAAAAAATATGCGGTGCATGGAAGCGGATAAACTCATACTTACATTACCTGGTCATTTTTTTTTTTTTTTTTTTTAAATAATTGACATTGTCACCGCCTTTATTGACGTTTTATTTTTACGCGTATATTACGTTTATCGCTCCGTCGGATGTAGATGACAAATACAGCCTGAACGTGGCCGAGGTACCGGTCGCGTTCGAGCGCAACGCCGACCTGCATCCGGTTCATGTGCGCGACATCGACAAGCCCCTGTCGATGGCCCTGCACCCGGAGAGCGGCTCGCTCTTCCTGCTGACCGAGGCGCCGACGGCGGATAGCAAAAAATCGGTCCTGCGCAGAATCGACACCAACGCCGTCGCCGCTACCAATGGCGAGGATCAATTCGAAATCATCCTCAAGAACAACATCACGGAAGAGTTGAACATCCGAAGCCTGGCGGTTGATTGCGAGGCGGACGGCCGACTCTACGCTTACACCGAGTCGGGTATGATTCTGCGCGCGGATCTGTCGGGTCAGGGAGTCGAGATTCTGGGGACCAAGTCGCCGGTGGAGAGGGTCGACGCCATGCTCGTCGACGGCGACTGGATCTACGTGAAAAATCGCACGACCATCTGGAGAATGGACAAGGCCAGCGGCGAGAAGGTCGAGTGCGTCGTGCCCGAGCAAAAGGTAATTACGTGTATAATATTCGAAGGCGAGGAAAATATTAAATCGATTAAAACTCCGAACACTCTTGTGATAATTTTGCAAAGGACGTCTTGCTGAGGTCGAACATGAAGGTAATAAGGAAGAAGAGCGACGAGCTGCATTACGGCGACAATTACAGCCTCCAGAACGCGGCTTGCAACGTGTTCTGCGCCTACAAGAAGCACCAGTCGGAGTCGGCGAACGAGGACGACGCCGCCCTCTGCACCTGCCTCAACGAGAACAACGACATAGAGAACACGAAGTAATGGCGCTGCGAAACGCGCGGACTAATATATAATGTATATAATGATGTATTATGTAAAAATTACAAGAGATTCGTGAAATAAATAAATTAACAACGAGCAAATGTGCAATGTTTGTGTGTGTGTGTACGAGCGCTGCGCAAAACTATCGTCGCAGCTATCGATTTATTTTTCAGAAGAATGACACCATGTTTTCAGCTTTGAACATATCGTCGCTCGACAGCTCGCCGACGCCGTCGTCTACTCCCCCGCTGTTGTTGTTATTGTTATTTATCTCGTCGTCGTTGCTGCTGATGCTGCTCCGATCAACCTGCTGCACGTCCTTCAGCAGGATTATTCCATCCGGGGCCGGCTGCTGTTGCTGCTCGTAAACGGCCGACTTCTTCGTCGTCGATTTGAACGCGAACCAATGGATCGGCAAACTGGGCGCGTGCAAAGAAAAAAAGGAAAAAAATTTCGAATGAAAATAGGCTCGATTGGCTCGAGTTCGAGGTTTATCGATGCACCATGTATAAACGATCTGTACGTACTACTTGGGCAGACGCTGCATCAACGAACGCACGATTACGTTGTACCTATCGAGGCGCTGCTGCTGCTGCTGCTGCGCGTCCTCGGCACTGTCCAGCAGGGCCCGTTTACCCGGTCCCGGAGCCGTGTACAATTTGTCCGGCCTGTAGAACAGACCCGTCGACGAGGTGCTCGTGCAGCTCACCGAGTGCGAGATACCCTCGAGCAGAAAGAAGACGCCCATCACCGCGCCGTACGTGATCAAATTGTTCGAGTGCATGGCTGTTGTTTTCTTGCTCTTTTTGCACGATTTATTACTGGATATCGAGATGACAAAAACGAGCCAACTAACTTCTGGAGGATGCACTCGTAGGGAAGAGAGAAAAACTGATAGATAGATTTGGCGAGGCGAGCACACGAGAGTCCGCGAGAGTCGGAAAATATTTTTAAAACTGAATCGGATCGACGGTGATCCGTCCCTTTTGTAGACAAGGATCGTCAAAGGGATGAAGAGAGGTGCATTTGCGTCATGTTCATTATGCAAAATGCTCCCTCGCGCACACGTGCACGCTTGTGCGTACGTACGTGTATCTCAAACGCAATCACAGTAATGTAAAAGATAAAAAATTAGCCTTCTTCGGTTAGTCGTGTAAATTATGCACACACACGCACACACTCGCATTCTTGTGCGCATTTTCTCTGATAAAAGCTTGCGAGCTGCATGAGAGCGCGCCAAGGTTGAAACGTTTCGGTTCGATTCTTCCAATTCACTCGGTGCTGCTGTGTACGTACGTACGTATGTGTGTGACTCATTCTCCATTGGAATTAGATTCGGACGTTGGTTCGGTGTAAAAATAGATTTCTTCATTGGGAAAATTGATTTTTCATGTTTTTTTTCTGTCTTTATTTTCTTTATACGTATTAAATTTATATTCATAATAATATATTTATTATTAATATATATTATATATATATTATTTATTAATATATTTATAATATTATATTTTACGCTTTTTAAAAACGACTAGATATACAACGTAAGATAGCTGCGTGCGTGGCGCGCATTTGGTCGACAACAAGATGCACGAACGAAAGGAAAATTAAAACTATAAACAATCGTTAACAACAATCGAACGAAAAACTCACAGTCTTTTACACAGTACATGTAATATAATTGCTAAGCGGTGTGAACGAAAAAAACCAACAACCGACATCCGAAATTTACAAAACAATTCTTCTGTCCCACTAGAATGTGTAATTGGGCGCGTTGCCGCACCACTGCTGTATGAAGCCGAGCACGTCGTTGAGGGGCGAGTCGCCGCTCATCTGCCGGGCCGCAGTGACGAATCTGTTCCAGTCCTCGCGCGAGGCCAGTCTGCGCGACGACTCGAACTGGACGTTGGCCGAGCCGACGCCCGGACGGCACGGGTAGCCCGTCAGAGCGCACTCGACCAGCGGACTCGTCGACTTGTCGCCGCCATCCGAGGACGAGGAGGAGGTGGCGTGACTCGTGAGCGAGCCGACGTAGACGCCGCGCGGATCCAGAGGCAGGCCCTGCTCGACGCGCTGATCCATGGATACGGCCAGTACCCACTCGCGCACCTCCTCGCGCTCCTCGCGCGTCAGCGACATTCGCGGCTGCAGCGGCACCTCCAGCGGGAAATCCGTCACGCGCAGATCGTCCACGTCTGGAGATACAACGAAATTATACGAGTTCATTTATCATTAGTATCGTTGGATAATGGGAACAAAAATACAGAGAAAGGCAATTGAAATCACTTCAAAACTCTGCTCGATTATACAATTATATTTTCTTTTCCACTTGCAGATTTATCATTACAGGTACTCGCCATCTAGAGGTAGAGATTGACTTTAAAATTGAACTTTAATGAAATATTTGAGAAATTTCAATCAAAATCTTTGAATTTGGTTATATAATTTTAAATCTTTTAAGTTAATTTTTTCATTAAAAATAAAGTATGTAGTTGCTGTTTTTCTCGATATTTTTCGTTTATTTATACATAAAAGTAAACCTGCACTGAAACATTAATGTTCAATAAAGATTTCATGTAAATAAACTTTGAATAGAGTTTTGTTTCAGTCATTTCAATTTCTGGTTTCATATTTAGGGCTTTTTTTGACAGCTTACCCAGAACGCCACCATCGCCCTCCTCGATGCACTCCTCGAGATCGAGAAAGTGATTCAAAAAGACGAAGGCCTCGCTGCTCAGACCGGCGTTGCGCGCCTCGACGCCGGCCTCGTAGTAGCAGCGATCGGCGGGCAGCAGGTCGCTGTAGCGCAGCAAGGCGATCGACGTCTTGAGCACGATCAAGCTGAGCACGCTGGTCTGGGCCTGGCGCGCGGCCAGTCGCACGGCCGAGTAGTGGCTGGCGCGCAGCAAGCGCTCGAATCGCTCCAGGGCCTGGCTGGCCGGCTCGAGCTGCCTCACCAGCTTGAGCAGGCAGTCGCGCAGCGCCGCCAGATACGAGTACTCGGCGCCGGTCTCGGCCGAGCAGAGCACGCGCTCGCACAGGTGCTCGTAGAGATTGAAGTTCTGGGCCAGGGCCGGCGCGCCGTACTGCGTGTAGAGCTGGAGCGCGTCCGCGACGTTGTCGGTCTTGAGCAGCTGCGCGGCGCGCTGCGCCACGTACTTGTGCATGACCGCGACGCCCTGGCTCTTGGCCGTCTCGAACACCTGGGCCCACTGGCCCTTCCTGATGAGCAGATCCAGGGCCGCGTCGGCGTCCAGACGCACGAGATTCTCCACCTGGCCGTCCTTGATCATGGCCTCCTTGTAGAGGTCCTCGAGGTAGAGCTCGAGATCGGGCCCGAGCTCGCGCACAACCCGCTTGGCCTTGGCCCAGTCGCCCAGCGCGGCCAGGGCGTTCACCGCGTCCTTGATGCGATCGGCCTGCAGGAAGACCTGCGCCGCGAGGCCGTACTCCCCGGCGGCGCTGAGCCTCGAGCCGACGTCGCCGCCCATCTGGGCCGCGAGCTCGGGCTCGGCTCGATGCAGCAGCAGCTCCGCCGCCTGGACCAGGGCGGCTCGGGGGGCTCGCGGGTCGCGCAGCAGCACCTCCAGCGAGGTGCGCAGCTCGCCGGCCTCGAGCCAGCGACGCGCCTCCTCGAGCACGTCCTCGGCGTTGCCCGACTGGCCGTCGCTCGACGTCAGCTGGGCCAGCTCGCGGCGCAGACCCGCCTCCTGACTCGGCAGGTACTCGCGGCAGACCCGCATCGCTTCCGACCACATGCCTGCGTTCTGCGGGGAAAAGATCATAAAAGCATATCGCACGACGATACTCCAAGTGGTTACAAATTATCGATATTCACTTTGTAATGATTGACGATGATCTCGGGTTTGTGGGCTCTCAGCAGAAGCGACTCGGCGCCGGCAAAGTCCTGCCTCTCGACGGCTTCGGAGGCTCTGGCGACCAGAACCTGCGACAGTCCCTCCCGGCAGTGATTCTGGGCCACGTCCTCCGCGGCCTCCCAGTCCTTGGTGTGTATGTACATTTGCACGGCTTCCATGGCCTTTCCAGCTGTATAACAACAACAAATAATAACATAACAACAAGCATAAACAAACGCATAAACCTTGCTTTACAAAACCATACTTATACAATTATGTTTACTTTGCTACTTGCAGATTAATTTATAAAAAGTACTCGCCATCTAGTGGTGTAGGCCGAATTAAAATACACTATTCAACCAAATTATAGCAACACCAAATTTCATCAAAATGTTGTCCATTTTCAAATGCTTTTTTGTTATAGTCTATTTTGATCGTATCAGGACGATTTGTGTACGCAAAATCGAGTAGATTTCAGCTAAAGCAGAGATTTCACGTATTTTAAATGTTACCTTCAAAACAAACTACAGGACGCAAAAATTATCGTAGAAAGCTGTTTTGTTTTTAAATTACTAATGGTGTATGTTAGCTTTTGATAAAATAATTCCTGCAGCCCGGACACGTTTATGCAATCAATATTTTTCAGTCATTTTTAGTGCGGCACTCAAATACTACTAGTGACTCGATATTGACTCAAATCCATTCACAGTATATATCTAGACTTAAAGAAGACAAAATTTCCAAGAAATCAAAAAAAAATTCGTGTCGATACGATAAATATAAGTTAGAAGCATTTGAAAATCGACAAAATTTCAATGGAGTTTTGTGTTGACATAATTTTGTTGAGTAGTATTTGTTTGAATTTTGATAAATTTATAAATCAATTAACGCGATAAATAAATCGGTATTAAAATATTCATTATAAATTAAAATGTTTGAATTTAAGTATAGGATTAGTCTTTTAGCAGTTTATGTAAAAAGAAAATATTCAGTACTTACAAATTATTCTTCAACGAAGATTTTACGCAAAAGTACTTTAAACATTATTCAGAATCGGTTACCGAAATACAATCTTTACAGCCGATAATTACCCTTTAAAAATTCTCTCTCCGCGTCGGCGAATCTGCCCTCGTCCTCGAGGGCCATGGCGTAGCGATAGTGCACGCCCCGCTGCTGATCCTCGCCGCCATACTTGACGGCCTCGAGAGCCCAATCGAAGAGGCCCGCGTCGCAGGCCAACTGCAGACACGCGTCCAGATAGCCGAGTCGGGCCAGGAGGCGGGCGCCCAGCTCCGGGGCGAGGGTGCGCGCCCACATGAGCGCGACCTGCTGGGCGGCCTTGTCGCCGGAGCAGCTCTTGGCCACTCGCAGCGCGTCCTCCCACATGTTGGCGGCGCGGTAGGCCGCCACCGCCGCCCGCCAGTCCTCGGCGCCGAGGTGGTGCTCCTCGGCCTCGCGCGGCTTGCCCGCCGCCTCGAGCTCCTTGGCCAGGTGCGCATGGGTGGCCTTGAGCAGCTCCGGCCGGAATTTGGCTACGAGGCGCACCATGTCGTGGCGCATGCCCGCCTGCCGATACATGGCGATGGCCTCGTCGTGCTGCTCCGTCGCCGAGTACAGAGCCTCGGCGTGCCGGTAATTGCCCGCGGCCCTGAGCGCCTCCGCGTGGCTGGCCAGCAGCTCCTTGGCCTCGGCGGGCTCGAGCTCGCGCTGGGCCAGCTCCTGGGCTCGCTGCCACTGGCTCGCCGCCGCGTACGCGGCCACAGCCTTGCGCGCCTGGCCCGCCCGCAGATAGAGCTGCTCGGCCAGCTGGAGCTCGCCGGCGCCGGCAAAGTGCTCGGCCATGCGCTCGCAGTGACGCAGCAGCTCGGGATCCGCGTCGAGCTCGATCACCTGGATGATCTGCAGGGCCTTCTTCCACTGGTGGGCGAGCACGGCCGCTTTCAGGGCCAGACTCGTCTCGCCGGCCTCGATGAAGTGATTGATGGCCGCGTCGTAGTGGCCGTTGGACATGAGATGATCGCCCCAGTCCTTCTCGAGCCTCACCACGGAGTTGGGCTCGGTCTCGCGCGCCAGATCCACGGCCCTGGCGTAGACGCCGGCCTTGGCGTAGGACTCGATGGCCGAGGCCGAGTCGCCGGTCTGCTCGTAGATCTCGCCGGCGAGCTCGGCGAGGTCGGCGGCCTTGAGGGCGCGCACCACGTCCGTGACGATCTTCTCGTTGCCGAGCAGCTCGTCGCTGGCCATGAGCAGTCGGGCGGCCCGGGCCGGCCTCTTGGCCTGCAGGTACAGCTTGCAGGCGCGCTTCGGGTCCTCGGCCTCGATTATGCCCGCGGCCTTGGCCGTCTGGCCGCTGTCCATGAGCCAGGCCAGGTGCTTGTCGCGCAGCTGGCCCAGACCGGCCCAGCGTCGCTGCTGCGCCAGGTGCAGCGCCTCCTCCCAGTGCCAGTAGCGCTGATACATCTCCAGGGCCTTGCCGAGCTCGTTCTGCTCCAGGTAGACGGCCTCGGCGGTCTTGAGCTCGCCCTTAAGCACCGCCAGCATGGCCCAGCAGTCCGGATTGGAGAGGGGCTCGTTGCCCGTCTCCTGGGCGTAGCGCTCGCCGGCCTTGGTGATCTGTTTGAGCATTCGGGCGCAGGCAGCGTCGCCCAGCGCGGCGTAGCAGCGAGCCGCCACCGTCAGCGATCTGCGGACATAACGACAATACTTTTTTGCTATACGCGCCCATCGTGCAATCCTTTTTTAAGATATCATTTTTTCGTAAAATATGTGAACAATGAATAACAGTTATTACTCATTGGACATAAGATACGTAATCGAATTTATTTAATAATTCAGATTCACTTTGCTTGCATTAATAATTTCGAAATGTCATAATGTAACTTTTATGATACACTGAAAGACTAGCGCGAAACGTGAGTTATACTCGTTCAGTTGTTTACATCGTGCGTGAAATTCTCATGTGACGACCTTCGCTGTGTTGCCCGGCAGTCGGCACGGTGTTTTGCTCTTTAATATATCATGCCACAGAACTGCGTTGTGCACGGAGTGCCGAGTGGAGCTGAATCTTTACATAGTGCATACGCTTCAAAAATGTGGTGTCAATCATGAAAATGAACTTAGTGACAAAGTGAAAATAATTTTTGAATGTGAAAATGTAAAGCCGAGTGTGGATTTGTTAGCAGTCAACAAAATTGACGATGATTTCCAATATCACTTGCAGAATATAAAAGCTATTAATGGTTTTGAAACAAGAGACACAATTAAAATAAAAACTGAGGATGAAATGAAGCAGGAATTTTTCGGTGAAGTTGCAAAAAAATTGCATTTAAACTGTCAACTCGGTGAGCAAAATCGAAAAAAGAGTGATACAACAGAATTAGTGAGCAGTGATAACACCCAAAATTGTGATAACAGTAGAAAGACATTTTCACAAAAACAAAATCTAAAACGACGCCACATCGACGCGGCACACAATGATATCACATATACATGTCATAAATACGACAAAACCTTCACAACTCGGAGGGGTCTTGAAATCCACATTGACATGGTGCACAATCGTGTTACACATAAATGTGACATATACGAAAAGTCTTTAGCTCAAAAAAGTTGTGTCAAAATGCACATCGATACAGTGCACAATGGTGTCACACATACATGTGATATTTCGAAAAGACATTCAACCTAAATAAATAATAAATAAAAGTTTTTCGAGAAACAAGATGATCCTCTTTTATTTCAAAGTAACAAAATATTGAACACCTTAACCCATTAACGACCAATATGCATGATTTTTCTGTTGGTTTTTGCAGTGATATTTTTTATAGTTTTAGACCTTCAAAAAATTTTGCACAGGCCTATGTGGATGTAAAATTCAATGCCCTTTCAGAAACTAAGCTCAAAATTTTGATTTTTTGAACGACTTATCAAACTTTAGTTTTGTGCCCTTTTTCTCTAAACTCAATAGTTTTCGAGTGAAAATGATTAATGTTTTATATGAATATGAGTTATTTTTTTCGAAGGAGTGGTTCAAAAATTCCATAAAAATTCTCCGAGATACTTTGATAGTCGTGATCACCCCTGATCATAATTATATCGTGATTCCTTAACGGCAGCATGGCGAAAAAAATCAAAAACTTGATTTTTTGCCAAAATTTTCATTTTTTTTTTTTTTGTTTAAATAGCTATAACTTTTTTATAACGCAAAAAATCAAAATTTTAAAGCGTAATGTTTTTAAGGTCTAAATCTATTAAAAAACTCGCTGCGAAAACCAACAAAAAAATCAAGCATATTGGTCGTTAATGGGTTAATATAAGTTGATGACACATGAATAATGCTACTGTCGCTTTTCAGCGTGCTTCGCTTTCAGCATATCAATTCTTGAAAATAGGATTATCAGGAGAGACTAATCAGGTCGTCATGAAAATCACAATCACGCCTCGAGATTCGCTCGTCATCGTACCTCTCGCTCATGGCATTGTTGGCGACGTTCTCCCACATGGCCTCGGTCTGGGGCCTCTCGCCGAGCTCCTCCAGGAACAGCAGCACCCGGCCGAAGTCGTTGTCGTGCAGCGCCGTGCCGAACTCGATGAGGCCCTCGTCCAGCTGATAGGCGACCTCGCTGCCGGCCTCGTCGACCTGCACCTGCGTCTTGCCGGCCTCCCGCGTGATGCCCGTGACGTCGCCTCGCACGGGCACGAAGGTCGCGGCGTCGGGCGCGTCCACGTTGTACCAGACGACGAGATTGGCGCCGGACTGGGCGACGATCACGTCGCTGCCGGGCACCCAGTCGCAGAAGGTGACGCCGGCCAGCAGCAGCGTGCGCTGTCCCGCGTCGTCGCTCAGCCAGAGTCGGCCGCGCTTGTCCCGACTGAGCAGTCTGCGGCCGGTCTCGCTGAGCTCGAGCCAGTCCACCCGCGTGTCGTGGCCCACCAGGCCGATGGTCGCGCCGGCGTTGGCCAGATCGACCAGGCGCACCGTGCGCGAGTCCAGCAGGTAGGCCAGCCGCTTGTTGTCCGGCGCGTCCGGCAGCTGGCGCACGTTGCAGCGCACGCTGACGAGGCGCGGATTCGTCGACTCGGTGCGCACCGTGCCGAGCACCTCGTTGTGGCCGTACTCGACCAGGGTCAGCTCGTCCGCGCCGTAGATCAGACAGACGCCCGGGTACTCGAAGTAGAATTTCTCGCTTCCTGCGTCCGAGCGTATAAATATCAATTTTATTTAGCGAATCTCTCGTCCTGTCCTGATTTCAATTAAGATAAGAATGATTTATCAGCGTCCACGAAGATCGAAATGAATTCCATATGAATTTCCACCTGTATTTCCAACTTGTATTTTAAATTTTAACAAGGATTAAGAAATTAATGGGTAAAATCACTCTTGGACTTTCTAAAAATCGATTTTTATGCATTAAAAGTTCCCTTTCGTTGACTAGAATGATGTTAAATTAATTTTATGCGGTTAGAATAATACACCGTTTTATACAATGGTCAAAAAAAACTTTAAACCAGTTTCTCTCGAAATAACATTTTTCGACTCTGCCGAAAAAAAATCTCGGAAACTATTGAACGGATCGAGCTGAAATTTTAACAGGAACTTCAAAATAACATTTTTCATTGAGCCACGTAACTGGTTTTAGATTAATTAATTATTCGAATTGTTATGAATAATTTTTGGACGAAATTTTTTTGGCAAAAATCGAACTTTTTTTGTGAAACTGCCTCTTTCGCAATTTTCGCTTTTCCGCTAAAATCCTACGTAGCTCAATAGAGAAAATCTGTAATTTCAATTGTACTTTATGTAAGAGGTGCGGATACTCTTTTTCTACAAAACGAGGGGTCGCAGCACGAGCCGGAGGAGAATTTTTAAAAGAAAATCTTAGAGTGACATTACCCCTAAAGAAATTAATATAAAAATCGATGCGAAATCCACTTCAATACGTATCGCTTTCTATTCAGAAATCCTTTCCTTTTTTTTCATAAGGCAAGGTACCATTGACTCCCTATTTACCCTGTTTATCCTCCCAGGGTATCTCGCTGAGGGCGTTGCGCTCGATGTCGCAGACGATGAGGGTGCCAGCGGTCCTCGCGACCACGTGATTGTCCCGCTTGCCCATGACCTTGACGTCGTCGATCTCGTGGCCGCTGACTGACTTGACCACCACTGGTCGGCTGTGCTTGTCCTCGAGCGACCTCACCACAACCTGGCTAGGCCCGACGTAGGCGACCTCGTGGCTGCCGCGAACGACGCTTCGACGCAGTATCGTCTCGAAGTGCTCGACGGCGCCGGTCAGGCCACCGATCACCAGCCTCGAGCCTGCAACGGTAAGAGTAATAATTACAAAAATCCACATCGATGCAAAGACAAAAGTTTGAAAAAGTCACGTTATACCGTCTCTTCTCCAAGCGATCGCCGTGACGGTGTAAAAATTCGGCAGGGCCTTGACCACGGACTCGTCCCACAGATTCTTCCTCGGGCTCCAATCGAATATCCTAAGCTTCAAAGTACAGAAAAAAAACCGTCGATCAACGAGAGTTCCCTCGGGCGGAAAATTCAGACTCGCTCACCTTGTTCCAGGAGCCGATGGCGATGCTCTGTCCGCTGGGGCTGCAGCAGGCCACGCTCATCTCGTGCTCGGTGACGTCCTTGCCGTAGTCGACGACCTTGACGCTCTTGCCGCGCTGCGCGTCGTAGAAGACGAGGCGCTTGTCGGCGCCCGCAGCGACGATGTGCGACTGGGGCCAGGCCAGGGCGTACACGGGACTCGGATGGGTGAGCACGCGGCCCGAGGCCTCGGCTGCGCCGTCGTCCGCCACGTAGTAGCGGATGATGCTGCCGTCGGCGTGGCTCGACAGGAATCCCGTGCCCCTCGAGCTGTGTGTTCCAAAGGGTTGTAATGATGACTCGAGAGAGCTCTCAAAAGGAAACGCAATGCGAGAACTTGAAATGTGACACGTTACTTGGTGGCCAGTGCGATGGTCATGGAGTCGGCCGAGTAGAGGGTCTGCGCCTTGTTGACCTTGACGATGGCGGCGCGCACCTTGCCGTCGGCCAGGCCGATGACGATCGGGCCCTCGCTCGGCCAGGCCAGACAGGTCACCGGCGAGCCCTGCGGGAACTTGTTGCATATGACCTTCTTCGCGCCCCATTCTTCGCCGATCTTGTACACGTAGACGATGTTGTCGGTCTGGCCGACGGCGATCTTGGTGGACTCCGGCGAGAAGGCGATGCCCTTGATCACGTAACTCTTTTTGCCATTCTGTCAAAATCATGGTGTTACTGCGTTTACGAAATTGCGATGCGGTGCACCGATAGGCACAAATACTGACCTTGGAATCGATCGGCTTCGTTGAGAAACGATCCTTCTTCACCCCTTTGTCGTCGAAGAGATAGATCGATCTGTCGGACGAGGCTACGGCCAATTTCAAATTGTTCGGCGACCAGGCGATGCCGACTACTCGATTCTCGTAAGTCTGTAGCGACCGACCATATAGGTATATCGATTTCAGCCTAATATTAATTTTACATTCGTTTTCGAGAGGAGGGAAAAAGAAAAGAACTTACGTGCGGCGTAACGACGGAGCCCAAATACTTGAGCAACATATCACCCGCGGATGTCGATCTTGTCGAGGTGGGGGCTCCTCGTGCCTCCTGCGATCGGTGTTTTAATCGACGTAAAAATGATAAACAATGACCATAACCCCCGGCTCGTTCTCGTCTTGCATGACTCGTGCGTTTGTGTGTTTTGTCTCGGGGACACACCGAACTGTTGGTCACATTTACCGATGATGTGCGACTTCTCGCGTGCACCTATATCTGTACTGGTGGTCGAGGGCGTGCAAGTGGTCAGTCTGTGTACATTTGAATGTCGCGTAGCAACAATTTAGAGAATTGCGTGTGCCGTTGCCGCCACTGCTGTCGTTGCTGCTACTGCACCCCCACCCGGTTAAAGTTATGTACGTATATACATAGACTTGTTAAACACAATGTATATGCGTCGGCTGTCTGTGTATCTTTTCTGGCGTAATGTGTCGTGTTGTTAAGAAACTTTTCCGCGTATTCATAATTAAAAGAAGCGAAGGTGAATCGGCCAATTCATTTTAGGTGTGAAGGAAATTTTCTTAACATTTTTTTTTTGCATGCATTGAAAATTTTTTAAGAAATGCATGTCAAGTGTGAAAATATTAAATTTGTTTGAGAAAGTAGAGTCATGATGGTATTTTTATAATTACCACTGCTAACTTTATATAGTTGTATATTAGGGCGGAACGAAAAAACACTTTTGACGCCGATCGCTGTGTAATAGTAATTTATTAAAAGTATAAAATGAAAAAAGAGAAAAGCCGCAAGCTGGACTCGAACAATTGATGTCTTCAGTTGGCGCATGAAGCCTGAAGCTTGAAATTCGTAAACACAATATTTGTATGCTTCAGTAAGAAATCTTTGCCTAATTTCTCGGCGCCGGATTAACCGAGTGGGCTGAAAGTTTTAGGGCTTGTTTTAAATGTTAACAGGAGCTTCTGTGTAACATTTTAGCCCTCTAAGAGCCTTAAAAGCAAAAATATAGTCATAGGAAGGTTGAAAAACGACGTTACATTAATTTTTTTTTGTTCTTTTTCTATCTTCGTACAGCTGTACATTGCGTAATTTTGCTGCTATTAAGACGAGCAAGTAACCAATTTCTTCGTCCTTTAAAGACGTTTTATATAACTTTGTAAAGGGTTTTTTTAATTTTTACTGAAGTTACAATATAAAACGTCCAACATTTTGTGTCACGCTCGAAACTACGTTTGTTATTACCCGCGTAAAAAAAATTCACGTTTCGCGAAACTTTTGCGAAACTTAAAATCCGCAAGTTGATCTAAACTTCATATGAACTTTGGGCCATGAGACTCGCCAAACTTTGATTTCGGTGACTTCTAGTAGTGCAAGTTTGGCGAAACTTTCGCGATAGTTTCGCGAAAGTTTAATTTTCATTTCAAGCATTAATGAATAATAAAAAAAATTATTCATTTCTTAGCTTCCAGTGTAGGCTTAATGAAGAATTAGATAATCGATTAAAACTTCGCAGGCATTTAAAAGATTTTTTTGTGTTAAAGATTTTTTTGAGAGAGTCCGCGGGTAGGATTTGAACCTGGGTCCTTGAGAGTGGGAGTCGTGAACGGTACCAATTGAGCCATGTGCGTAATTTACGTCGGACACAAAAATAAGATATTTATGAAAAAGTTATTATTGAAGCTGAAAACCAATAAAAAGCCAAATCAGACATTCATTAATTGTAATTTATAGTAATTTTTTAGTTTTTTATAAATATTTACGATTTTTCATATAAACAATTTTTGTTCGGGACATGCTACACTACTCAACAAAAGTATTGAAAAAAAAGTTTCATCAAAATGTTGTCAATTTTCAAATGCTTCTATCTATCTTTGTCTATATTCATCGTATCGAGACGAACTTTTTTTTGATTTCTTGGAAAAAAGTTCCAAGTTACAAAAAGCAAAGTTTAGCGAGTTGTATGAACGAAAGTTCGTACGAAGTGTATATTAACTGTGCGGAATGCAGAAATTTACGCAAAATGTACATTAAGTTTCGCGAAACTTTTGCTATCAATGGCTCTACGAAGATGTTAGTTTGGTGAGTCGTTTGGGCCAAGGTTTCTACAAAGTTTATATGAGTTTTACGGAATGTTTCGCAAAACTTATGCGAAACTTTCGCCAAACTTGCACAATCAATGAGTCCATGAAAACGTAAGTTTGGCAGAGTCTCACGGGCCAAAGTTCATATGAAGTTCATATAAATTCGGCAAAATCGCCAAACTTAAAAAAAGTTCCGCGAAACCTAAATTTTTTTACGCGGGTACTTTTTCAGTTTGTTAAGGGTTACACATGCTAGACGAACTTGAACCCCAATGATAGTTATATGGTCTTAAAGGATATAAAATTACCTTTAATTTTGTGTATTTAAAAACTCTCAAAGAACTGGAGATACAGCCGTTTAAAGTTTCACTGAAAAAGAAAGTACTAAATCTGTGAATTCATCATAGACCACACGGAGAGAAATACTATATTAAATATCAACACATTCGCAAGCAAAAATTACTATATTCGCTAGTACAAGTGCCTCAGAGTCGGATTATGGGCATTTTCTACTATGTACAATGTTTTGGCATGATTTTTGACCTGATTTCTCACCTGATCCTCTCCTATAAGGTATGGTTTTAAAGAAAGAACATATAATACATTTCAAGCATGGATATTTTTGGATAGAATCTGAACTGTTGACGCCCGAAACACAGAATTTTGTCAAGGCGATTCATAATATAATAAAGTATGATTTATTTTAATAACGGAATTTTTTTTGTCGATTTAAAATATTGAAATTTTCGTATCATTACGTAGTAAATAATTTTTAAAATAATAAGTCAAACTTTATATTCTTTAACCTATACTAAGATATTTTATCTATGCAATGATTTAATATTATATTTCTTTACACTTTTTCGAAATCAGATTTTTTTGTAAATACCACTGTTAACTTTGCATAATAGCACACGTTCATTATTTAATTTTTTCAAGTACCTGTGCACTTGGATAACAAATAATTATTTGTATTTTTACGGCATGTTAGGCTATTTATGCATGCTAAGCATATGTCGATGACAGTACTATTATTGATTGTCCCAGACGAAAATTTTTACTTCTGTTAGAAATAAAAACATACCGCGAAAAAAATTTATGAAAATGATTTGCTGCGAGTTTAACGTTCTCATTTTAAGATTATTATTAAATTCATTCATCTTATTTTACAACCAAGATAAAATTACAACGACAGCTTTGAGCAGGCCGTGCATTAATCAAATCGTTGAACGTATAGTAAAAGTTTCTACTTCTCAAGTTACATTCATATTTAGCAATCGCCACTCCGAAGTGGATGTGCTAACAAGGTTGATCTGGAAAAAAAACCTTTCATCAACCTTATCAAATGTTTCATTGTTGAACCGTTTTTATTTAGATAACCGATCATCAATCAATGTCCTACTGATTCAAAATAAAAATGACTACGATGATTACAAAAACTACATCGACATCTATGACAAACTTTATCCAAATAAACGTCGGCCTCGGACACTAGTAATTTTGACAGACCCAGATTATGATTCTGACGGTTCGATTAAAAATTTGTTTGAATACGGATGGACTAAAAAGTTTTTGGACGTGTCTCTAGTGGAGGAACGTCATCACTGTGTCATACAGGAATACAATCCTTTTATTGACACTCTCACCAGCCATAATCTCGACAGTTTAGACTCAAAATTATTTCCAGACAAATTAATCAATGTTCATGGATACAAAATATCCATCGGTGTTGTCACGCAAGATACATTAGTAACGATAATAAGAGATGGCAATGGCCAAGCCATAGATTTGAAAAGTCCTTCATATGATGAAACGAAAATTATTATGAACTACATGAACTTTTCCATAGATTCGATTGTAGAAATAAATGCTCCTGGAGACTATGCTAACGGCCTCAAGCTAATGATAAAAAAGTTACAAAACAGTGAACTTAACAATATGGTTGTTTCACGGGGTTATGTAATATATCCTAACATAACTTATGTTTTCACGGAAGAAGATTGCTCCAGTATTAATGCATTAGTACCGTTTCAAACTATAGTCCAAGTTCACTTACCCTTTCACATTATAATCTATTTATTAACTGTTATTCTACTCGTGAGCTTTATAACTTGGATCTCAAGATTATTGAGGCTTTTTGGGAATAAGCTAAATTCTGTAAATGTCTTAGGGGCACTTTTTGGAATTCCTGTCATCATTAGACCATCCCAAGCTTCGGAAGTAATGATACTGACAAGTATTTTTTTGTTATCCATCATATATCCTACTAATTTTTATTCAAGTTTTGTCAAAGATAAATTGCTCGAATCACCTGTTACTTACAATACTTACCAAGAAATTTATCAATCTGGATTGCCGGTCTTCATTTACGTTAATTTTGTAAAATTCATGATGGAAGTTGATGACCCATACTTAAACAAAATCTTACAGAAATCTATAGCCAATCAATTATCGGACGAATGCGTGAAATCTCTTTTGTCAGGAGATGCACGAATTTGTATTAGTTCTTACGAAACGTTGGTATCATTATTGCAGTTATATTTCACTAATGCCAGCAATCATGTGACGTTTTCTGACCAGGAAATTAGTTGTGTTCCGAAGTCTTATTTATTTGAAAAAGCTAGTCCTTATGGGAGAAAATTCTACATCATCTTACGGAAGTTACGCGAATTTGGAATAGATCAGTTTATCAAGGCACGGCACGCAAATACAACCTTTTTCTTAGATGAGAGTGAATCAGATGAAATGAAAAGAAGCGAATTTTCGTTACAGTTAATATTTCTCGTCGCTTGTGGTAATGTTTCAGCGGTGTTGGTCCTAATTTTCGAATATTTATTTGAAACTGAAAAACAAAAAAACTGAACAGAATCATGTCGCAAATTTCAATGTTACTTTAAGTTTCCAATGATTAATCTATAATTATAATATGTCAAAATTTACAATTAAAAGAAAAATAAAGTACTATTTAATAATTAATATTCAGCAAAAAAATCTTTTTGGGAGACCTTTTTTTCAATCACGGCCTTTTTAACACGGGTATGCGGATCACCCTCCAAATAAGCTCTAAAAAGCGAAAAATTGATCCATATTCAGTTAGTAGTTCTAACGAGATTTTTTTGACGGTTTACGGCAAAAAGCGTGGACAGTAAAAAGTTTGACAAAATTAGTTTGACGCCACAAATAAACAGATGTAAAAA